CAGGAGCATTAATGATTTTCCTCAAAAAGATGGGTGAGATTACAAATATAACATCTACTTTTAAAAAGGGATGAGGGAGTGCAAAGATATCAGAGAACTACGAGGTTACTGGAAACTAGAATAACAAATAATTTAACCATTTATAGGTGCTCAGAAAATAAGTAGAAGGAAAATGAGGGATTTTTTTTAAAGAATAAATAGTGTCAAATCAAATTTTTTTTTTTTTTTTGTAAGAGAGAAACAGCCTTTTGGGATAGAAATTATCTATCTTTATTTTAATAAGGCTTTAATGCTGTTTTAAATGACATTCTCATAAGCAGGCCAGGAAGCTATTACATATTTTGTTGTATGATAAAATACCGCAAAAGCAGCCAGAATACTATATACAGAGCTGTCTCTTATGGTTACTTCTAGGGGTGGCCATTTTGGGCTGAGCATTGCTCTTTCTTGACTTGGCTGAAGACAGCATGTGCTCATGAAATCTGGAAATGACACCAAAATGAGAGGGATGGCAAGCACAAAGCCTAAGAAGATTAGAACTAAAAAATGATAAATAATGATAATAAACTTCATAAATGATCTGAAAGAGAAAAAAAACCAGGACTAGTTAAGCAAATGGGCTGGTCTGTTCATCGGGAAGAAAGAACATCAGATGGAACTACTAGATGGGCATCAATTCTGCAGGACAACACGTGTATGCTACAGGAACGTGTTTCTCAACGTGACTCCATGATAGTGTGAAAAAGGTAAATACCACGTGGGGAAAAGGGGGCTGCAAAGTGTTGGTTTGTGACTTTATGCTTTCCCACTCTGTGGCACTTATTAAGGCCCCTCTGCTGCTGTATTACAGCCAGTGGGAGTCTTTACTCTGCCTGAGAAATGTGCTTTACCTGCATAGTCTGGAGAAGAGAAAGAAAGGGACCGGTCAGAGGGAAAGAGGAGGCTGTACATTCAGCAGCTGAGGTGGAGGACAGTGAGGAGGAAAAGCAATAGAGACATTCTTTTGGAGGAGGATCTATGAGCATGGGGCTTCAGAGTCTCTCAGCTCTGTGCAAAAGGACTTGTGGTGCTGTTTCTGAAGTTTTCCCTAGCTTTTTTGTGGTGCAGCAGGACTAGGAGCTGTGGGTGTGCTGCTTTGAAGCAGTTTGTCTATCAGACGTGATCCACCCATTCACCACAGTTCAGGAGCCCCCGAGCTAGAGTGTGCCTGGCAGGGCGCACCTGAAGTCAATATACTCATGTAACTTGTTACCTCTCCTTAGTACATTTTTCTTCTGTGATTTCAGGCAAGATTGGATGGTGTGGTATAATCCTTCCTGTTTAGCTTTCTAATTTTCCTAGCTCAATAATTTCCTTATGTTTCCTAGTAGACTCATTTCCTTCCATTGCATGAACTAAATTGAAAATGGACTGAGCCAGTAGACCAGCAGATGGGAAATGTTAAATCCCCAGAAGGATTTTTTTTTAATTTATTTTTAAGTTTATTAGAGGCACAGTTTTGTAAAGTGCCAAGTGTTCATGAGTCATAGACAGCCAGAGGACAAGCCCTGTGGACTTACAGCTGATCCTCAAAGTCAAAGACTTGCTTTGGAGAGTGAAACCTGTGTTTGAGATCTTTTCCCTGTAGATGTATTCCAGAGAAGCAACTAAGCAAAGATGGTGTTAGGCTTGCATCTCTTGGGAGGACCATCAGGAACCACTAAACAGACATAATAAATACTAGTGCTGGTCTGCACCACAGTTTTGGCATGTGCTTGCAAGCAGGTGTTTGGAAAGACCTCTTGGGAGATGACAACTGTGCACACCTCATGAAGCCCAAGGTAGGAAGATGCTAACAGATGTGCTTCTAAGCTCTGCTTTGCTTTGGGTGCCAATTTCCCGTCTATTTCAACTTTCAGTTCACTGCCAAGTTTGTACTGGTAGAAATACAAAGCTGATTGGTGTCACAGTGTCCTTGCCCTGCTTCATTTATCTCTGCAGGAAATTCAGCTCATAATTCCTCAGTTTGCAGTTAGTGCCCACGTCTATGTACGAGCCCAGGCAAAGAATGAGGTAATGATTGCAAAGTTAATTCTTTGGAAAAGTTCTGCTTCATGTATCTATTTCAATCAAGCTATTGGGCTAAATCCCAGATGGCTACAGTATTCCTCTTTCCACCCGGCACTTATCCAAAATTTTACCCTGTGGGCAATTGCTCCAAGGGGGAGAAAGGCCAAGTCTTCTTTCCGCTCACATTGAAGGCATTCACATTTGCTCAGAGCTGCCATAAGCAGCTGTGTCCCAGCTGCAAGTCTCTGGGTAATGCATTCTTTCCTGTAACCAAACAGGGAAGCCATTTTCCTTGCTGCCTTAAAAAGGCATTGAGTGAAGTTAAACACAAGGCAGGCCCCTACTTCCCAAGAGGATGCTTATTTAACCCAGGCTTAGTTTTTTGGGGAAAGAAAAGTAAGCAAAAATGGAGTGAGCAGAGCAATGAATGAGAACCTCGCAGGGACTGAGGTTGTTGACTCACTTTGTTGCAAATGAGATTACAGCTGATCACCGTGGATGCTGAGTCCTCGGAGACATCACATATTTATTATTTATACCCAGAGACTGACATTTTGTAAAATGGAAACGGCCAATTAATCACAAGCATCTTTTGGCAAATGTTTACAAGCAAAGATCTTAATCTGGGCTAACAAAGCCCCGTTGTACCCAGAGGGAGTTGATTAGTTGGATCTGATGATTACCTATAAGGGAGCTCTGTGCAGACTTGTGAAGGAACCAGGGTTTAAAGTTTGTTTCAGAAATGCTTAGCCAGTTTTTCTTTGAATAGTGGAAATAGCTCTGAGGAAATCTGGCAGCCTGAAAGTGTGAAGGGCAGAATGTTTGGGTTTATTGTTTGTTTATTGTTTTGCTGGGAGTTATAAGACCCTGTTTATGCCAGACTGAGAGACGATGGATAGGAAGATCACAGATGGAGTTTCATGGGTACAGGTGTGTTTAGTTTCACTCAGATTTTGTAAGACCTCTGCTTTACCTGGGCTGGGCACTTCAACCTTCCTGCAAAGCAGAGGTTCCTAGTTCACGCTCAAATTAGGTTTCTCTAAGTAATGTTCACAATGACTGCTCTGGTGCTGAGAGTTTGGACCAAAGCCTGGGATTCAGCTTTTACGTCAGATCAAGGATTCGGAGAGGACTATGAAAAGTTTTGTGTCAATATTCTGTGCCAGCAGTCAGGGCTGGGGTTTTACTTCCCAACCCTGGCATATGAATAAAATGTTCATTGATTATGCCTTGCAAAATGCTTTTCTGCTGGTGTGTGAAAAGCCATTGCTGATGATGTTGGATCAATTCTTGCTTCTCTGTTCTTCCCATTTATGTGTATGTGTGTGAACATCTCCTGAGTTACGCCTAGACTGCAAGCTACTTTGGAAATCAGTTGGGGTGGGGGATTGCCTGATTGTCAGCTTGAGGGGTTCTTTAGCTCTTTGGCAAGCACTCCAAGGGACTAAGATAACACCAGGAACAGTAATAATAATAACATCAACAACAATAATAATAATAATAGTAAGCAGACCTGATTTCCTTGGCTGATTAATCTGAAATTTCCTTAGAGACATTCAGGAGGAGCACACGGCTTTCTCTTGCAATTTTTTGCCTACTGGTTTCCCATAAAATATTTGTCACGTTGCCAAGCTGCTCTGTTCCTTTGGTATGCAAAATGCTTTGAAGAGAGAATCCCTCAACTACCCAAATTGCCAAAGCATGGCAATGTAGTAAGGAGTGAAAGGGGATTTTTGTCTTCTGACATCATTCAATATAAAAAGGATGCGCTTGTGTTTGCACGGTCAGTCTTTTAGTACAAGGTTTTTGAAGTGTTCATGTGAGATTTCCTCTTGTGTAGCCGTACTAGTATCACCACTTTGCACTCTGTTTTGATAATAATGTGGTTGAGAGAGAGACACTGAGAACAGAAAGGATGCTGGTAATGATATTCTCAAAGGATACAGGGAAGGTAATGCAGAACAAGAAGTACTCGATATATGTGAAGAAATATTTGCTGCTCTCTGTGCATCTCTGATGATGATTTAATATCCAACGGGTGCCAAGATATACGTGATATAGCATCTATTATACTTGGACGTGTTAAAATCAGCAGGTTTCAGTTTCATTAGACAGCCTGGACGTAATTTGGCTCAGAAACTTTCTGTTGTTAATGCTGGGAGAAAGCTAGCATTGTGCCAATGTTTAACTAAATAATCCTGTCCCACTGGTGAACCACGGGCAGAATGCGACTTGTGAGACGCTTCCATCCAGCCAAAAGCCATGTCCTGGTGGTGATGGGGAATGGCGACTCCCTCAACAGTCGTGTCCTGCTGGACTCCTGGGCACTGGGAGGAGGAGGCTGGAGATCCCTGGGTGGACGGGCCCCGTGGGGTGGGTGATGGATTGGGTGAGTCAGGAGGTGCTCCGAGGCAGGAGAGGACAGGAGGGCCCCTCTGGCTGCAGACATACCCTGCTGCCGCTGCCTTTCTTCAGGGACCTGAGGAGTCCACCCAAACCAGGCTTGTCCTTGGCTGGATACAGCTCACCCTATGGCCAAAATCACAGACACGGTCAGGCCTGTGAGATGTGGCACTTTGAGCGGGGCTGGAGAAATGACCTGAGGAGAAACATGAAGGGAGCATCCCGCATCTCCCTTCCCTCTCACCCCGCTAGGCCATACCCGGCCCACGCACACCCCGCGGCCTGTCCTGCGGGCACAGCTCGAGGCCACGGCTGAGGAGGCCGCGTCCCCTCACAGCACCGCCTTGGCTACGGCCGCAGAGACGGAGGGGAAGATCCGCGTCCCCTCCCCGCTGCGGGAGCCCGGGGATAAAGCGGTGCCAGGACAAGGCCCCTCTCCTCCCCTCGTCCGCCCTTGGTCCCGGTCCCGCCCCGCGCCGCCGCCGGGTGGCGCTGCCCCTCCTGCGGAACGCCAGGCTCCACCGCCATGTTCCCGGGGGGGACGGGGAGCGGCCGGGACAGCTCGCCGGCCGGAGCGCTGAGCGCGGTGCACCGCATCCCGGAACGAGCGAGATGGCGCGCAGCGGCAAGGTGAGGGAAGGGGAGAGGAGGTCTTCTGTATCCCCACAGCAGGGCCGGTGTGGTGAGGATGCGCCTGAGGGGTGGGGTGCCACGGAGAGGGTGCTGCCCGCTTGGGCCCGGCCGCGGGGGCATGACAAACGGTGTGTGTGTGTGTTTGCGCGGCACCGCGCTGGCCGGGGGGGTGTTGTTGCGGTGGCGCCTTCCTGTGAGCTGGATGTGGCTGATGCTCACCTGGGGGAATTGGCTGTAGTGCTGTCAGGCGACCGCAGCCAGGCCCGGGCGGCCTTCAGCGAACCGGCTGCGGCCTCGGTAGCGAACGGCACCGCAGCCGGGGCTGCGAAACCCGTCCCCGAAACCGAGCTCCTCCCGCCTGTGCCGCTGCCGAGCGGCTGCTGGCACCCAGCGGTCTGGTTCCAAGGGACTGAGCGTTCCTACCTCGGGGGCAGCTGCGGGCTTGGGCACAGCGCAGCTACCGCAATAGTAATTGCCGCTGCTCTTGCTAAAATAATAGTAGAAATAGTTTTTCCCTGTTAAAAGTGCAGTTTGTTGGTCGCGGGAGGTGATTCTGCCCCTCTGCTCTGCGCTTGTGAGACCCCACCTGGAGTGCTGTGTCCAGCTTTGGAGTCCTCAGCACAGGAAGGACATGGATCTGTTGGAACGGGTCCAGCGGAGGGCCATGGAAATGATCAGAGGGATGGAGCACCTCTGCTATGAGGACAGGCTGAGAGAGCTGGGGTTGTTCAGCCTGGAGAAGAGAAGGCTCCAGGGAGACCTCATTGCAGCCCACCAATGTCTGAAGGAAGCCTGCAGGAGAGCTGGAGAGGGACTCTTTGTCAGGAAGTGTAGTGACAGGGCAAGAGGTAATGGTTTTAAATTGGGAGAGGGGAGATTTAGATTAGATACTGGAAAGAAATTCTTTACAGTGAGGGTGGTGAAGCACTGGAACAGGTTACCCAGGGAAGCTGTGGCTCCCCCATCCCTGGAAGTGTTCAAGGCCAGGCTGGATGGGGTTTTGAGCAACCTGCTCTAGTGGAGGTGTCCCTGGTCATGGCAGGGGGGTTGGAACTCGATGATCTTTAAGGTCCCTTCCAACTCTAACCATTCTATGATTGTTTGGTTCTATATTGGTGAAAGCTGTGTTAAGGTTTCTTCTGATACAGGGAAGTTTTGTATCTGTTAAACACAGGCTTTGTCTGTGATGCTGGATAGAAGTGTTGCTGTCGCCAAATCTCTCAGCTTTATTATAAATAGCTTGAGCACTGAGAGGTTAGAGATAAAGGCAGGCTTGTTCCCTTTTCATCCTTATCAGTACTTGAGCAAAGCAGATTGATGTTAGCTCAGGTGTGACAATGTTGTCCTGCAATCGCACACGCTGAGCATCCTAAAAGCATCACTTAGTATTCTGCATGTGAAAATGTTAGCACTGGATGCTCAGAGGTGAGATGCACAGAGGTTAACAACAGACGAAGCGACATATGGAGGAGGATGCCAAAAGGGATACGTGCCCCCTTCCTGAAGGAGGATTCCACATACTTGAGTAGACACGGAGCTTGGAGTTTGCTGCTTTCCAGAAGAGCATGTTAGCACTTGACACTTGATCGTTTTCTCTCGAGCTAAACAGCAGCTCTTCCCTCCTGCACTTGTTTGATTTCTTTGCTGTCATCTTGCCAGCTGTGAAGAGCTGTTTTGGACAACAGGATTAATTCAGCTGCCAGCCATCGTGTGTTTTGAGGCAGGACAGCAACAAGCCAAGGGACTGCAGTTGCTGATGCTGGTAGGGTAATTCCTTAGGTTGGCATGTGAGCTGTGACAAGGCTCTTCTGAGAATCTAGTGCGGCCTCAGTTACTGCCTCTATTCTACTCTAAGCTTTTGCAGACCTAGCTGCCTCTAAGGGATTAATTCCTGGCTCCCAGGCAAGCCACTAGTGAAGGCAGGGTGAGGGACAGAGTGCTAAAACAGATCATAACCTGCTGGATGTCTAGTGGAGCCTTGTCGCTCAGCCTTCCTTTTCTCTTCCTCTTGTCCTGTCTTGAGGGGCTGCAGGAGTTAAATCAGTGCTTGTAAAAATGACAGGGGAGGTGCACAATGTATTTTGGGAAACAATGGAGGATAAGATCACAGTTTGAGAGCTGTTAATACAGAGCATTTATCCCTATAATTATTCCTATAAACTTGGTATTAAGAAATATCTATTTGGGTGACAAAAAGAATCAGGTTCTTTTGGTTGATGTTTAAAAAGGTTTAACTTGGAGTTATCTGCATGGTTGTATGCAAAAGAGCTTTGATCAACACCTTTTCTGTCTGTTCATCCCTTTGGTTTTGCAATAACAGGCTATGCATCTTGTGTCACTTGATTTTTTCAATCTTCTGATTTATTGCCCATGTCCTTTTGGCAGCTTCACTTCATAGATAATTGGATATATTTTGTATTTTAAACCAAAGTGACTGGCTCCAGACTAGGTAATACCTAACCTTCCTGTGTTCTGGCAAACAATAATTTTCTGTACGCAGTATAATTTAAGCTATTGGCTGTGTACCAGGCAAGATTTCAATGTATATTTAAAGAACCTTGGTTTAATCAGTGACAATAAATTTGAGCTGGCCTTTTGTCAGTGTCCTTGAAGATACAGGACATAATTTTGCTGAATTCCTCTTGTAGCTTCATTCAGCTGGATGGTAAAATTACTTACATTAATCAAGATAAGTAGAGTCTGTGAAAGGACTTTAAAGGAACTTAGCAAAACCCGTTGAATGGGCAATACACTGTAGGTAATATTCATTATTAACAAACGTTGAACAAGAGAGCTCACAAGAAGCAATTTTTTTCATATGTTAGTTCGTAAATCAATTAAGGGAAAGATTTGGACGCTGTTATATATAGGTAAGTTAAAGCGGTGATCAGAAATGTAAACATATATGCTAGTTTCTGGGATTAAAGCCCCTAAATTTAAATTGGAATTTTTCCTTCTGAGGCGTTAAGAGCATCACTGCACACCGCAGGCACTGGTGCTCGCTGCAGGCACCTCCAGTAGCAACAAATGGTCTGACTCTCCCTGGAAGCCGCAGGAGTGCAGTCATTCTTCAGCTCTTAGGTTAGAGCACACAGCAGTCTGCAGCTGTTACGGGCTACTGCGAGGGGTGGATGTAGCTGTGGAGTTCAGGGAGCAACCTTGTATCTCCACCTTGTGTTGTGCTGGTAATTGTCAACTGAAATATCTCTGGTTTATTTCCTGGTGTAGAAGAGCCCTTAGATCCCTAATACATTCACGAAATTGACTAGAAATAGCCCCTTTTGACAGATTGTTGTGTAACACAGGATTATTTGTATTTTCCAGTGAGATCCCTGGAACATGGTATAGGATTAAATGATTCTCAGTTCCGTGTGTTTGTACTGATTCTATTCTCCACCATTGTCTCTTATTAACCGTTACTGTAAAAGAAATCAATAGTGATGTAGTTTGATTTTTAGATTTTGTATGTTCAAGGATCTGAACTACCCCTTTTAAGTAATTATGCTTATATTCTTTATTCTATATTTTTCATTCTTATTTGGTATTATCTTTCCTTTTTAGGCAGCCATAGTGCTGTGCCTGGATGTAGGCTTTCCAATGAGCAATTCTGCTGTTGGTGAGGAATCTTCATTTGAACAAGCCAAGAAGGTTATGACAAAGTTTGTGCAGCGACAGGTATATGTGACTTTATATGGGATTAAAACCTGTTAAAAAGGGAGAGGAAGCAATGATATCTGTGAAATATTTTCCTCATTTACTATAATGGAAGTAAATGAGAAATGAGTAAGAATTACTCTGTTTTTATGCACTGGTAGCATTGCTCTTTGTTTCAGCTCTACTTTCATGAAGATGTGGCAGTTGGATAGGTCACACTTTTTCTTTTGGGCAGCAGAAACTTTTTGGGGAAAAGGTACTCTTTCTATAAAATGTTTCAACCTTCTGAAGATTTACCATACTGAAAACTAATTTCAAGGGCTGAATCAGCCAGTTTTACTTGTTTTATCCCAGATAACCAACAGACTGACATGAAGCTTAATTATATCTAAATTAGTTAACTCTCTAGAAGGTTACGTTTTGGTAGGATAGCAGTGAAGAAGTAAGAAACGGCAAATCCGCTGCAATTGACACTGTTTCAGAATCAGTTCAGCTTGCTTGAATTTGCCTAATATAGTTGTGCATGAAGCTACCTGTATTTTTATACCTGTTCTGTATTTTCTCTGTTTCCAGGTTTTTGCTGAGAGTAAAGATGAAGTCGCTGTAGTTTTGTTTGGCACAAGTGGTACCAGGAATGCCCTTGCCAGTGGGGATCAATACCAAAACATTACTGTGCACAGATCACTAATGCTGCCAGATTTTGATCTGTTGGAAGACATTCAAGATACAATTAAACCAGGCTGTAAACAAGCAGACTGTATCCTTTCATTGTAGAGTGCTTTTTGAACTGATTCAGCTACATAAGAGACAGGAAGTTAGTTGTGAAATGGGCTCACTTTTTTCCCTCCTCTACTGTCAGAATTCAGTTAATTTGTGGTTGTAAATTTGTTCAAAAGCAGATTAGCTGCTTTTTGACATTCTTTTAGGCTAGCAGATGGAGTCTTGGCCTAGGGAGTTGTTCCTTTTATGAAGTGTTTTGTGAATTAGAGAGAACAAAGACAGCAATAATAACATTTTAGGCCTCAAATATGGCATGTGTTTTAAAAAATAGTGTTGCAGAACCTAGTATATGCTTTTTATAAAACAAAAGTATTTTTTATGAAATGCATCAGCAGAAGTACCAGAAGCCAGAAAAAGCAGAATAGTAAAAATAGTGTTGCAGAACCTGGTATATGCTTTTTATAGAACAAAAATATTCTTTATGAAGTACCAGAAGCCAGAAAAAGCAGAATAGAGGTTTATCAGATTGATTTTTATATCAAGTATTTCTAACGTTGCCAGATGTCACTTGCTGGTTTGAATGTTGTTCATGTTTGAATGTATTCTGTTGTTAGCTGCATAAGGTGAAGAGTTTTAGAAGAAGGTGATCTATAGTGTTCCTCTGTGTGCTTCATTTATGTACTGTTCTAGCTTCCTGTGCCATCTTCCCTCTTTTTGGCCATAAAATGATTGTTGTGAGCTCTATTCAGATTGTCAGAGCTGTTTCAGAGAAGTGTGCAGCCAGTCAGCTGTATCTTAGCAGAAGCAGAGTCATATTCCTTCTTCAATGGGTGAGCAGGTTTGTGTGCAGTGATAAAAATATATTCCCAATGAAAATTGGTGAGGAAGAAGCCACCAGAAGATTGCTAGATGCAGATATTTTGAAGGAAAACTTGAATGAGAAAACTGTGGCCTGTATTGAAAGTATAAGTAAATTTTGTTTGTGTATTCAAAGTAACATTGTGAAGATTAGATTGCTCTTTCATTGGACTTGAGCCTCCTCATTGACAGTTAAAATGTTGGGCCCTGAAGCAGTCTTTTTACTTTTCCGTCAGATGAATGGGGAAGAGAGAAGATCACAAGCCAGACAAGTTACATAGGAACCTCTGGCACCAGAGATATTTGAAGAGTGCTTGTCTCAAAAAATTCTTTGCTTGTTAACTAATATGCATGTTTGTCAGTGTTTGGGAGAAAGTGAAAGCAAGATTGTTTCATAGGAATAACACTTGTGACATGATTCATGTCCTAAATGTGATTTTTCTTAAATTTGCTTAGTTCTGGATGCTGTTATTGTGTGTATGGACCTTCTTCAGAATGAAACACTGTAAGTATGTAACCCAAAGCCTTTTACAGAATTCTGACCTTGTGTTTTAGAGCTGATCTGATTTCTTGATGGTATTACATTTTCAGTATTATGTAAATATGGAAAATGCTTTAAAAAAAATAATTAAAACCAAACAACACACGACAGGAGTCTGTCCCTGAAGAGTCTCCAGGAGACATCTAGCTTTTCAAGACAATCCAAAGAACTTTCTGATGCAACTGGGAACTTTGAAGTAGATTTATGAGAATATTGATGCCATTATACAAGACACAAAGACTTCACTTAGTGTGATCTGTTTTCAAAAGACATAAATTCAGATGTTAAAATGCATAGAAAAGGGCTACCGAATTTATAAGGGTGATGGCATGTCTCACAAAGAAAGGAAACAAAACTAGAAAGGTGAGTTTGTTCAGCCTAGCAAATTAAAGGCTGTTGGAGATAGGGTGGCTGTTTGTAAATATGCAGGCTGTGGGAGGTAAACATGCAGCAGGAAAAAACAAAGAAAATGTTGGCACAAGTGTCAACAAAGTTGTCATTCAATGTACTTGACTAGAAATGTGTCTGTTTCTAAGACTTGGTGGACTGATTGTGGAGGGAAAGGAAGGTGGCCTTCTGTCCTGTCAGAACAGAGATTCAACGTGTTGTTAAAAAGATTATATGATCTAATTGTAAATGAGAAGATGAGACTTTGTGATGCAATTTTATTATTTTTGTGAATAAAGTCTAATCAGCATGGAAAGCTGTATCGGTTTAACAGTTAAAACTGGGTTGTGAATTAAAATCACTGTGTTTGTGGCAGTATAATCTTGAATACCTATAGACCAGCTGCTTTTGTTACCGTGTGGATAAGTTACTTGTATGCACCAAACACTGATCCAGAGTTTACATTCAGTTGAGAAAATATTATTGGGTAAAAATTCAAGAAGATCGCCCATATGTTTGACTATTCAGATAAAAACTGTATTAATTTAACTGAAGTTTGTTCTGCAGCTGGCAGAACTTTCTCATGTTTATTGTTACTACTTCTTAGACTATTAAGTAGGCTTTAAAGTTCATCTTATGCAATGAATCTACTGAATTACCTTACTAAAATGGAACCCCTGCCAGCAACACTAATTTAAAATACATTTTCCATTTTCACAAGGGCAGACTTACAGCTGCAAAGGAAAAATCCAGTATAATCAATAAACAGCCTAACATTTTATTAGCATTATATCTACATTGGTAAAAATTTGTAGAATCTGATTCATTTTTATGTAGTTAGTGATTTATATAGTCACAGGGCTAGAGTCCTCAATTTTAGGGGGCAGGAATGAGTAGAGGGAATCATATAAACACCAAAACTTACCATAAATAATATGAGCAATGATAGAGCAAGTTCTACCCAGTAGGTTTGTTTGGTGTTTTGTTTTTTTTTTTTTTTGCAGGTGTATTACTTTAGTAAAGCCTCAATTTTGTAAGGAAAGAACTAGAAAAAAGGTCTTCTAAATAGTATTTCCAATATATGTTCTTTTTGTATTTTAAGAGGAAAGAAATATGAGAAGAGACACATTGAACTTTTTACTGACCTTAATAGCCCTGTCAGTGAGGATCAGCTGGAAATTATCGTTGCTAACTTGAAGAAAACGGGAATTTCAATTCAGTTTTTGTAAGTATGGAAGTGGCTTTTATACATTATGCCATTTTTTTAAAGGGAAATTATTATTCTTTCCTAATAAGTCTTGAAGGAAGTGGTGGTCTGTTGGTGTATTGTTTCTATAGAGCTGTACCAGTATGTAATATGTTACAAGTACGTATATCAATTACACAGGCCGTGAATTCCAGTTATGAACCAAGTCTCCTTGACTAAGTGATGTGCAAATACACATTCAGATGGTGGCTTCTTCTCTAGTTAAGCTTATAGTTTAGAGACAAAATCTAAAACAGGAGACAAAAGATCTATATAAGCGAGAAGTGGGAAACAATGAGTGAGAAATAGCCTCAGAAGCAGTGGTTTGTCACAGCAACAGTCTAGACCCTTTTAGGTAAGGGAGTTACTGGGAACAAATAATAAGGTAATGGTTCAGGTGTTTATAGCCTGATTTGGTGTCAGTAGAAAAGCAAGTCTGAGGAGAAGGGCTGTATGTTCACAGAGATGGGCTTGGAAAATGGAAGCAATATCTTAAGTGTTCTGACAGAAATCCCTTGGCTGTATTGGTATAGGCATTGATCTGAAGAATCAATGGTGGACTGAGATCTGTATTAGTTGTTGCATGTGACAGTAACTTTAGAAGACATAGGTAGTAGGAGTTTATTTAAAAGCAAAACCTTGTGTGAATGTTGATGTTGGCTGTTTATAGCAAATAATTTCACAGGAGAAAGTTAAAGCCACAGTTTTGCTTCTGAACATCTTAATATTTACTTTCACTTAGATCCAGCATTCTGTAAGAAGCAATGTTGTGAACTTGATAAATTCATTAAAGCGATTTGCAGACCCACCTGCAAGATAACAGAGGGGTTAGGTAGGAAATCATGACTGAAAATCATGAGCTGATCCTCCACAGAAAAATTCTCTTTTGCCTGTGCTCAGGAGAAGCTGAATGTAAAAATGTCAGACTACTTCTAGGTTCTGTCTGCAGAGCAAAAGGAGGAGTGCTTGCAGCATGCCTTGAGGTGCCCCTTTTAGGTTATTTCAGCCGTTGTTGGCACTGGAGACACAATACCACAACCCTGAGCACATGCTGCCAGCCACAATATGTCTTTCAGAGACCTGGTATTTAGCCCCTGCTACCTGGTCTCCATACCTGTAGTTTGCTAGGCAGGTTAGCACAGGTACTACACCCACAAGTTAACGTTGTGCTTTTATTCTGTGAGATTTCTGATACATCTTTACCTTCTCTTTGTCTGTAATGTAGTGAGGGAAAAGCCCCATGGCTGACAGAGGCACTAGGGAAATGTTGCTGTTAAGGCATCAACTACAGATTTACACCCTGTCTCCCAGACACAAGAGCAAATAATGCTTTGAGAAATACATGTAATACAAACGTAAAATACTCAGGATACTGGTTTAATAATAATTTATTGGTAAACCTTTTCCTTTTGTTATAACCCATACTTCTATCTCACACCCTGTTCATCCATTAGGTTGTAACTTGTGGCAAATAGTTGGTTTCCCTCCCTGGTATCAAGTTCTGAGCACTGTGTAGCTTTGGGTATTAACACATTTCTCATCACGGGAGTCTCCAAGCGCTTTTTAGTGAAAGTAATCTAACTTTGATGTATCAGAGGTTTGAAGCTTTTTCCTCTCGTAACAGCTTTAAAATATAGTTTCACTATTTGTCAGTTGGTGCTGCTTCCTGAAAAGCTACCAAACGCTTTGCTGAAGTTTGATCTTTAATTCTGCTGTATGTGACATTGTTGTGCATATTGTTAACTCTGCTTATTATGTGTTGCTCTACAGATCAGTTTAGAGAGGACTAATGAGGTGAAAGTAAGGTAGAGATCTATAGGCTGCTTTTTTGAAAACATAATACAGTGCTAAAATTCTTTTACTTTGTGGAAATGTGGTAAAAGGTATCATGTGGTTCATTCAAAATTGGATCAGATGAAAGATTTGAAAAATCTGCAGGCATTGTCTGGGGTACAAAGTAGAGGATCTTGCACATCTCTCTCTTCTGTGGTTATTATACTGACTTAACTCTGTTATATTTTGAAGAGCAGAAAAATCATTTTATCTATAACCCCTAGCTAAATTTTTAAATCTGATTCTTGAAGTGCAGGAAAATGTGTCATCTTCAGTCAGAAAGCCACCTAGTGTTGTAAGCTATTAAAATCTCAAAGATTAACATTTATTCCAGAAATACCTAATAGTCCCACTGCAGTGAAAGTCCCATTTGCCGGCATTTAGAGCCAATATGGAATCACAGGCCTGGAATGGCCTTTAACAAGTCATCTAGAGCAATCTTCTGCTTCAGACTGGGTCAGTTGTATGTATGTCATCCCTGAGTGGTGTTTCTCTAATCTTTTCATAAAGATTTCTACTGATGGAGACTCTTCTGTCTCCTCAGGCAGTTAGTTTTAGAGATTATGGTTTTGAAATGCCTTTTTCAGGTTTTTGAATGTCTGACATGTCTCCATGATGTAATTTGAGTGCAGCCTGAATATGAAGAACCAATTGATCCCTTTCTCTCTGCAACAACCTTTTATGTTTAAGACTGTCTTGCCCTCTGACTCCTTTCTCTATGGGCTTTATTTCATTCAATCTTTTTCCATAGCTCTTATTTTCTAATCAGCATCGTCTGTACTCCCTAATAATTTCCTGTATGTGGAGATCTTTATTGACAGATGATGTCCAGAACTGTTGCAGCACTCTGGTCATGATCTTACCAATGCCAGGTAGACCAGAAATACTACTTCAGCTGTTTTGCAACCCATGTGTCTCTTTATACATCTGATAGCAGCTAGATTGAAATTGTTGGTCCTGAATACAATTTTTGGGTTGTTTTTCATCAATAATTTCAGTTAAGAAGAAAGTCAAACTAACTGCTGCTGCTTGTGTTCTTAGTCTGCCATTTCCAGCAGATGTTGATGATGGAGGTGGAGGCACGAATGCCAGTGAATGTTCTAAAATGCACAGAAACTCTTTTCCAAGAAAGGCTTTATCTGAGCAACAGAAGGAAGGCATTGATGTGGTGAGGAAACTGATGCATACTTTGGACGAAGGAGGAGGGCTGGAAGAAATTTATACTTTCAGGTAAACTTGGCTAATCCTCTTTATTGCACTGTAAATTTATTTTCTGATTTCTTCCCCAAAAGATGAAATGAATTGAGTAATCAGTCACTTTGATTCCAGTTTCATTGAACTTGGTGAAGTTTTATAACTTATTGTACACTCAGTCCCTTTGAAAGAGCTCCTTCATTGGCTTTGGAATAGGTAGAAAAGCATAACAGATGTCAGTGGAAAATGAATTTTCTATATCTGTATTTAATGAAAAAAAACAGTTTTCTACCACCTTTAGTGTTGGTGGATTTTGGAGGGAATGTTTCTATAAATGAGATTTCAAAAGCGTGTTCTGGAAAAAGTTGGGATTTGTGACATAGTGCAGGTAGAACATTTGCATCTAATGGTAACCTTTGTTCCTTGATCTCAGACTTCTTTCAGCTCACTAGTTTATTGAGCTCCCACAAATGTTTTGAGTAATGTTTGTTGAATCCTGCTCTTTAATCACAGACTACTGTGCCATTGTGCCAAACAATATTCTTTTTTAGCAGCATTCTTGATGCAAGAATTGAAAGATGGTTTTTCACTTCATGTTTCCCCAATGAAAGAATAAAAATCTTTGTGTATCTCTGAAAAACTGTGTGTAATGATATATCCAAATCATTTTCACACGGGTCTTGTCTCAGTTGGGGGAAAAAAGCAGTATCTATGCACTTTATAAAAGTATGATTTTATTGTCTTACTAGTTCTGTTCTACAATTACGAAGTGTGATCTTTTAGACAATATGTTTTTCAGGAAAGCTAGCAGACCATAGCTGTAATGTGATTATTAAGTGTAATTTTTAGATGAGGTACCTGTAGGTTTGTGTGCTGTTATCCGTCATTTTATTTGTGGGATTTCCTTCCCAGCCCAACTGATCTGCTTTGCACCTCAGCAGCCAGTTAAACCATTATTTGAGCATTAGTGTGGCGTAGTGAAGAAAAATATATCACTGTGTATGAATTCCATACCAGTCACAGAGCGGTCTGAGTCTCTAGAAAAAAAGCAGGCTTTGTCATTGCATGGAAAGGCTGCACAGAAAAGGGGTATCTTTCTGGGCCCGATTATCTTTCAGGATAATCCATATGCATGAACCTACTGTGTGGCTTGCTTATATTTTTTTTTTTTATCACAGGCTCTTACTACTGTATAAGCTGTCTTTGTGCCATGCTTTCAGGGGAAATCCACAATCTTTAGTTAAATAGGTATTTGGCTAATAGATTAAAGCTTTAGTTATCTTAAGTTTTAAGGATATGTGAGGTTTTAGATGCAGTTAAGTTGCTTATCAAGCTTTAAGAAGTTAGCTTTGCAAATCTGTCATGATAATTTATCAACTCAGATGCACTCTATTTTCCTATAGTCATTATTCCTGCTGGAATAGTTCAGCTCTTGTGAAAATAAATTAGTTGTGCCAGGAAAGTAAGGGAGGAAACTTTGTTGTATTGTTTTAGGGTTTGATATTCTGACTGTCAGGCAGGAGGTGCTTCTGCTGCCTCTGGTTTTGAGGGCAGAGATTTGAGAGCAAGGGAGAGAGACATGTTTTTAAAATACAAATTGAAATGTGTGTTTACTGGGTTTTATTGGCTGAGTCTTCTTTGGTAAGAAGGACCATTTTTCTTCTATGAATATAAGAAATTAAAGGACAGAATTAATAAATTGAGCTTCAATAACATCTTTTGGCATTTGACGCTTAGGTATTTGATTTTCATATTCATCTTGAATGTAAGTGTTGCAGTAGTTTTAATGATGTAGTAACGGATTCTTTTTAAAAATCCTATGTTGATGGTCTCTATTGCCAGAAAAAGTCATTTTTCCTCCCTCCCTTCCTTCCCCCAAAGGAAAAAAAAAAAAGGAAATGCAGTGTTTATCTCATCATAAAAATCCCAGTGTATGTTCTCCTTTCATTGTGCTTCTGTTAGTATTTTTAAGAAAACTTGCTCATCCAAAGAAATTTGAAATGTAGAATACCAAGTTGTATTCTGTACTAAAGTTTTTAGGAGTTGATCTTAATTTCTGCCAGACAAGTGGTTTAATCGAGAGAGGTAGATTTGGGGTTCTATCATCATGTGAAAAAGGTGAGATTAACACTGTTTTATGTTTGCTTCATCATGCAATAAAAAAAAAAATTGAGTGCTTTCTTTGCACTGGAATTCTATAGCAAAATAGCTGATACAGTTTGTATTAGCTGAAAGCTGTTCTGGGGTGAAAGCCTATTTGATTTCACGATGATATATTAAGAATTACTTTTGCTGTCAATTTTTAATTTTTGGACTCCATTGTTTAAAGTTGTGCAATTGAGTTAACACTCTTTAGTACAAAATTGTTATAGTTTCCTTTTTTTGTGTTTTCTGAACTTGTATATGTGCTGTTTAGGCTAGAAATATTCAAAGTAACTTATTTCACTCTAACTGAATGCCTTGAAAATAATGAGTTCATTAGTATTGTATTAAAAAAAAAAGTGTCAAAAGTTAATTACAACACAAACAAAATCCTATTAATTGAAACTAGATTCTTTATTTCTTTGCCTCCACTGCAGAAAACATTTTACCACTTAGAGAAGCCTTTTCTAATTTGGGTTGTTCAGCTAACTAAATGCCCTAATTGGTTGAGCACAGATAAATGTAAAATGCTTAATAAGCAATTGTGTAGTTTCATCACCTGAAGACATACTGTCTTTAAGCCCTGATGTCATGCCATCACAAAGGCTCAAGATAGGAATAATCTACTATATCACCTCTTTTTTTAAATTCTCTTTTCTAACAATAGTTAATGACAAGATTATTCATACAGTTTATTTTCTAATACTTTATGCAGTCTAAGCTGAAACAATTGGACTCCTGCATCTCCTTGAAGAGACTGTATTGTCTGTAATATTTTATTACAGTTCACCAGAGTTCATTTCTGTTTTCCTGAATCCTTGATTTAGAGAGAGCCTGGAGCGTCTTTCAATGTTCAAGAAAATAGAAAGAAGACCTATGGCTTGGCCCTGCCAGCTCACTATTGGTTCTAATTTGTCTATAAGGATTGTGGCCTACAAATCAGTAAGTTCATAAAATCGTATATTTCAGTGTATTTTGGCAGCAAGTTAGTTGCGGCTGCACGGTTTTTTCCTTAAAGCAAAGAAAATAAAAATAAAACAGCATCCAAAATAATTATGGTAGAGATTTTATGTGCATAGAAGCCAGTACATCTAAAACTGTGGTTCCCACAGCAACTCTAACTTCACCATATTGTACACATGTTAAAGAACTAAAATTCATGATGTACAGAAATAGAAGTAATTGCTGTCTACGATGTGACACTTAATGGTATTGAAGTTGACAAACCTGATTAAGAATGCTGCACTTGTGTGAAGCTTTCCATTTGGCCTTAGTGATACGTCTGCAGCTCAATGGGACTTAATATCTGTTTCTTAAGCCCTAGGCATGAGAGGAATTATGCACATGAGTATGTAAAATGGTGGGTGTAAATGTTTTACCAGCTATTGTTTTGAATCACATCTATTGTTATTTCAGACTTGGAAATAAAGGTATATTTTTTCAGCTTGTTTGCTTTCTACTGTTTGGCAGAGCTTGTGCACAGTTTGTTTCCTTTACAGTTTATATGGGTCCTTTACACAGTGCTAGGAAGAAGTGTATTTAAAAACAGAAAATGGGCAAAATTCCAGTTATTGAATAATTAATAGGTAGCTATATAGTGTGGCAGCACTGATGGATTTGGTGAGATGAAGATTAATTGGTTTGTCATTTGAACCCAAGACTAAGAGTCTGACCAATACTGTAAGGTTTCAGGAAGATGTATTATGAAGTTGAAATATATCTGATTTCTGAGAGATAGGCATATTAGCCTTGAAAAAAATCTCTGCTGCCAGCTTTCTATTTACACTTTTTTTTGTTGTTGTTTTGTTAGGGTATTGTGCCAGAGCTGTACAAATATGCAGTAAGAGTCCCCTCCCAAAGGTGTTTACACACAAAATAAATGAAGCTTGGGAAAGAAAGCAACATGAACTGAGTGACTAGCCCGAGGTCGTACAGCAGTTGGATCACAGCTAGGAATAGACTTGTGATATCTACTGACATAATCTATTCTGTCTCTTCTGTTTTCTGTCCAGTTCTTCATTTTTATTCTCATTCGCTAAGTACACCATCAATTTCACTTAAGTAGAGAGAAAAGAGAGCATTTTTCTTTCCCTTTAGTTGGGAAACATTCACTCATTGCAGATATTTATTCCTTCTTTCCCCTCCTAGTCCCATAATGCAACTGGTACCTTTTTCTGCCTTCTGGAGCAGTTGCAGGTAATATAGGATATTTTTATCTTGTAGTATAGTAAGCCTGATGCAAAACTTGGGCAAACAAGCTGAATGAGCTTTGAGTCTCCTTTTATCTTTAAATATATATCTTAATGCTTTGTCAAAAGCATTTACGTAGGTGGAGGAAGTAAAATACATAGCAAGCAAGTTACATGTTATCCTGTGACCAAAAGACTTCCACAAATGACTTAGCCCATGACTTTAACGAGTAAACAAGACAGGTGTGCAGTCAATATGGCTTAGCTCAGGTGTCAGGTCTCATACAGATGTAGCAATGTGCTGAGAGCACTGTCGTAGCGGTCAGAGATGTGTATTTGTGGCTGTCGTTATCAGTCCCTTGTTAGGAGTCGGTCAAAAATTTATATGTTCTGGTAAGCACTCTGGATCCCACTGAAATACTAAACGTTCCTTTTCTTTGAATTCTGATATAAAGGTCACAGAAGAGAAGGTGAAAAAAATGTGGACAGTTGTGGATGCTAAAACCCTCAAAAAAGATGATGTGCAAAAAGAAACTGTTTACTGCCTGAATGATGACGATGAGACAGAGGTTCAGAAAGATGATACTATTCAAGGTATGACTTCTTTATGTGCACCCTGAAGACAAACCGAAAATTATCGCTTGTACTCTTAAATCACCTAAGTGCTTTTTATTTTTATACTTTGAAGCCGAGCTCTCATCTTAGAATGTAAGCTGTGTATGCTGATGGAACACAGAGACTATTATGTGAGGCTCGTTGTCTTCACATGTTTTAAAAATTCTTACTTTTGCCAGTAATAGGAATAATAATAATACCACCAGGTGGAACTTGGAAGGCACTACAGCTTCCCAAACTGTATTCTGTGGAGGACTGTACCTCAGTTCTGTAGTGAGTAGTGCTGCTACCTCTATTCTGTTTTCACATCTTCAGTTGTACTGATAACATCAATACTTTCATAACACTGATATTTTTTTTCTAGATAAGCAACTGCTCTAGATATTCTGCAGTTGGGAAGATGAAACCATTAAAGGAAGGTTTAGTGTTCAAGAGTCTATTAGCTTTGCTGTTTAAATTCTGTGATAGGCTCAATGTGAAGTAGAGGTATGCAGAATACTTCTTTTATAACCTTCAGCTATTTTTCTGAGCGGATTAAATTCCTTAGAAGACTAAAGGCCCCAGAAACAGCATGAAATAGTCTACTGTTAAAAAATGGATTTAAGCAAATGCGTTTAATTTTTTGCAATGGTATAGGTGTATTTTGTTACTAGGTTTTTTTTCTTTCCTTTGCTGTTTCAATCCCACACAAGTACAGCAAGTATATTAACTATAAAGGGAAGAACTATTCAGATGACACTATAAAAATTGCTGTCAAATGAATAAAATGAATTGAAAAATTAAGATAAATCCTGTATTTTTTTTATTTTACCTCTTTCAATTGTAGTAGTCATAGGTGTTTTGTAGCAGTAGCAGATAAAAATGTCCCAACAACACTGTGATTTTCTTTGTTTCTTTAAGCAGAAATGATAGTTAAAAGCTAGTCTGTTTTATAAAACTTTTAGTGAAATTAAAAAAAATTATACTTTTTATAGTGAATATATTTTGAAGCATTTGTGACCATTTTCTGATGACCTAGGTTGGTGAGTGGTTGCAAGATACTAGTATAAAGAAGTGATGAACAGTTCAATGTGAACAAAAGAGACCAAAAATTTCTCTATCAAATGGTGTGATATTTCTTACAGTTAAAGAGCTGCTGATGCCTCATGGACGTTTGTGGACCTTTTGAGAAATGTCAGAATTAGACAATATTTTGCATTTGAAGCAGCCATACTGAAATTTATTTCATTTTGACTGTGTATTTGCTTTTCAGTTTCCAGGAAAATGCATATAGGTTTTTAATCCAGGGATTTACCTCTGTTTGTTCTGCTTTCTCTGCACCTGAGGGTATCATCCTTAGGCTGTGGCAGTATAATGAAGTGGTGATGTTACAGGGAGGATATTGGAGCTTGAGGTGGGGGATAAGCATTTGGAACAGATGATGTGTCTGAGAAACTGACAGCTTCCTGTTTTCTGGAGATATCTCTGTAATGTAAGGCATGGAAGTAAAACAACAGACATATATAGAAAGATCAGTTCTGCATACAAGAGTGTTTTGCTTTTCCATTGCCTATGAGGGTCTATCTCACTCCTACATCTAACACATTTTGTTCTCTGAATCCCTTCTAGTGATGGTGGTGATCATACCACCATGATTTGTGATATGTTTGGGTTTTCTTGTATTATGTTTGCAGGGAGTGTTGCAGTCTATTTGCTGAAATCTATTCTGATTTGCTTATTTCTAGTCTGTGAGCATAACTCTGTTGGGCAAGATGTTCAGTTCCCTTACTTTCTTTCCTGCTCTCTACAGGGGTAGCTGTGTTACATAAACGGTGTACGAGGAGTGCAACTGCTGTTCGTGAAGTACAGAATGTGTCTATGGGGCGTGGGGGTTTTTTTTGTTAACAGGGAAAGTAATTTGATGAGCGTGCGTGGAGTGTAGCTGTGGGGCATGCATGCATTGTTAAAATACTCAGAGAGCTAATTTTGGTGTTAGAATTGTAGGCCCATATGCTTACCAGATGCTCCTTTCTTGTTCTCCAGGGTTTCGCTATGGGAGTGATATAGTTCCTTTTTCCAAGGAAGATGAAGAGCAAATGAAATACAAAACAGAAGAAAAATGTTTTTCTGTTTTGGGATTCACCAGATCCTCTCAGGTACTAAACTTTTCCCATTCAGCTTCCTGGGTTGTTCAAGACAATTGATTTCAGTTTGAATTCGCTGAAGTTGTGGTGTTGTAGTGGGTTCCAGTATTGGGAATGGGGCATCTACAGTCAGGTATACAGGGTGACTAATAAGTCAAATATGTCAATAATAAGTCAATATAAGCAAATATGCTGGTTCTAGGACATGTAAACAGTATGTGGCCTTGTGAAGGAGAGAAGCTCATAAATGTGGCCGTTGGGCCCTCAAGAGCCACTGAACTCTGATCTCTGCAAAGTGGAAACGTACCTCTATTGTAGTCTCATTTCATCTCCTGAGCTTAAATAGTGATGCCAGATCTATCTGCAACAAAAGATCATGAAGAACACGAGTGTGTTCTTTTTAACAAAAAAAGCCTCTCCCTCGACATTAAAGAAACGTTAAAGCCTGAGAACTGACTGCATTAATTCTCATTTCCGTAAGGACTAGTTTGTGAACTCTGACTTGCTTCTTGTCTCTACTGTAACAAAACCTAAATGTAGGGAAGACTTTATAGAAGTTAGATGAAGATAACATAATTCAAAAACTCCCCATATTTCAATGAGATGCTTAGTGTTTGTATGCATTTACCTGTACTTGTGGTATTAAGTTTGCCATTTATTTTACCTGGAAGTTGTAAGACTTACATTGAGCAAGCACCTTAATAAAAGCTATCCAGCACAAGGTGATTGTCTGCAGAAAGTCCAGGACTTAAGAATTAGGAAAGCTTTAGGCAGAGGCTTAACAAACCCTTCTTGAAGCAGGACACATGAGGAAGAAGTAAAGAGTTGTGAGCGCCAGTAATTGCTAGAAACATGAATCTTTTCCCACTCTTTCTTCTTCTGGATATTGCACAGGGTGACTAAACCTTCACTCTTCTTGGAGTTCACTGCACCCAGTCCCCTTCACCACTGAAAACCAAAAGGAAATCATAGGGCAGCTCTGTGCCTTCTGTTCTGAAAGCTCCCTGTTTGAGAGCTTTCTGCTCTTCTTTGAAATATCTCATTGCTTGAACGAAATAGAACCCTTGACAAAGGCTGAGGAATTGTTACCTGTACTAGGAAGCAAAGATGCTAATGAAATAGGAAGTATCTGTGGGAACTTACTCCCAAAGGGATGTAACTAAACACCCTTTTACTTTGGTACAGGTGGCACAGAGACCCCTGCATGTTGCTAGATGTGCCTTTAGGCTACTGCAGTGAGCTCATCCTGAGCATATTATTAATTGAGGAGCCAGGAATATTGATTTATTGAAATGAGAAGCCAGCCTAAATGGGAACCCTCATTTGGTTGCTCCTTGAGGATATTCAAAACTTAAATTTCCTAAGTAACATGGAAGCTTGGGTATGGAAAGTGATTGATGGAGGAAACATATCATGCTTGAGTTTATATGCCCTACATTGGGCAGAGCAGAGAGATGTTAGGGACTGCTAAATCCTGTACCAGAAAATGGGTCTAGCAGATGAAATATATCTGAACACAGTGTTACAATGAGACAACTTCTTGCATCTTTTCATGTGTTATTAGCCTACAGCTGTGTCTTACTGTCATTTACTTCTGTAAGATGTTTTTGACCATGTGCAACTTTTTCTGCTGGAGGCTGGCCTCCTATTTTGACTTGAAGTCTGACTTTTATTGAAAACAGAAACAAAGAGGAAAACAGATAAGAAGCATCATGCTCCTAGAAGTGAGCTGATACTTTATGTGGATTTTTTTTTTTTGCCACTGTTGGTCAGACAGTGTGGTAATACCTGCAAATACAGTTAATTAATTAATTTAAACTGAAAGAGGGTAGAATTAGATTACATATTAGGAAGAAATTCTTTACCGTGGGGGTGGGGAAGCACTGGAACAGGTTGCCCAGGGAAGTTGTGGATGCCCCATCCCTGGAAGTGTTCAAGGCCAGGCTGGATGGGGCTTTGAGCAACCTGGTCTAGTGGAGGTGTCCCTGCCCATGGCAGGGGGGTTGGAACTCAATCATCTTTAAGGTCCCTTCCAATTCTAACCATTCCGTGATTCTGTTATAATTTTAAGACTATAGTTGAAGGAATACTTTTGATTCACATAAATATACCTCAAAGAATTAACAAATTGGGTTTACATTGTTTTCAATGCACAAAATATTTATTGCTTTTGGTAATTTTTATGATGTACTTGTCTTGTCTATGGATTTCATAACAAATAGGAATTACAACTTGAATAAAGTGTGCTCTGGTTCTGCAACTAGGAGTGTGAGTAATTATGCCCAATAGTAGTTGCGTAGACCTCAGTGGTATAAAATTAGTCAGTTGTGATTGCAGGAGTAAGTTTACACTGTATAGATAATGATATCAGGAAGTTTTCAACTACCTCAGGAATATTCAAGACCTGTGCTTTCCTTATGTTTTGGCTTCTGAATTTTATTGTTTGGAATCATAATACTGACACTATTCAAATGTATGTTTTATATTAAATTGTTTCTTTTAAAAACTTGGGAGAAAAGATAATTTATTATTAACTAGAGAAACTGGAACAGCTCCAAATACATAATTAAAGAAGGAATAGAACCACCTCATATTATTTTTCTGAGTTATTCACATCCCCCAGGAAAGAAGATCAGAGGCCGCTTAAACTTTGATTTTTAATTTATAAGCAATGCCATGTAAATTGAGAAATATACTTGAAAATATAACAAAGGGACTTTTTTTTTTTCTAAAAAAAAGGTGGTAGTGATACACACATCTAGATATTTATACTGTATTGGACATAAAATTTCCCAAGCTTTTAAAGACAGAACAGCAAAGAATAATTGCAGGTAGAATAATATGAGTTGAAGAATTGTGTTGCAATACATTAAACAGATCTGTTCTGGTGTAAGTTGTTACTGACTTCAACAGCATTATGGTAATTTGCTAAATAATGAAACTCCAGGTTAGTTTGGGGATACTGTAACTTGAAGAGATTTTGCTTTAACAAAGTAAAGGCCATTTTGACCGGTGTTTACAGTAGTGTACAGCCTTTGTGACAGGTTTTCCTCCAGCGCAGTGTTTCTCTGGGTATGTCTCACAGCCTCTATAGCTCCAGCTTTTCCATCAATGCCCTTTAGTGAAACTGTATTTTTTTGCGGGGGGGGGGGGGGAGGTCAACAATGTTCAAAACAACATCTGCTCTTAACAACAGCTGCAGAGGAAACCCTTGTCAGCACCAGCCCAGGGCGCCTCTTCTTTAGCCCTTTGTGTTTTCATTTCTGACCCTGTGTTGTGACAAGCAGCTCAGAATGGGAAAAAAACTTCCATTTGCCAAACAGAAGCTCTCAAAAGATAGCTCCTGCTTCAAGTCCGTTAGATGTTTTTTTTTCGGGGGGGGGGGGGGGAAGTCAACCATGTTCACAAACAGCATAAACACTGATAACAGAAGTGCTTATTTGCCAGCACAGCTGTATGTACTTCAGGTTGGTATTGCAGTAGCTTCGTTAAGGACATGACTTTTTTCAGCTCCTTGTTGATATGTCTTTGCTAGGAAAATTTAGTAGTGAAGATGAGGTGTCAGTTTAGGTCTTTTTTCACTACTGTGGTTTTTCCACACTGACTTTTGAATTACTGCAGTATTATTCAGACTGGTAACAGCCGTGGGTACCGTAGTATTTCATTCCTGCTCATCAGTAGGAAGGTATGAGAATATCCTGCTGACTATGACAGAATATCCATATTGAGGGATAAACGGAGATATGAAACATACAGGGCTTTAACTGCTATGCACAGTAATTTAATTTTGTGGCTTTTCACTTGAGTAATGTGTTGCTTCATAATTTAATTTGTTTTAGATCAGGCTAACTCTTGACCATTTGAATCTGTAGATCCAGAGGCATTACTACATGGGCAACCAGGTTCTGAAGGTCTTTGCAGCTAAAGATGATGAGGTAAGGTGAACTGAAGTTTTATGTTGAAGGTGCTTGGCCGTGGAACAAGAATGCTTGAAATTGTCCCTTCTTTCCATTTTAATAAAACAAATATTCTTAATGCAGCTTACAGAAGTCTTCTTCCATTGTCCATTAGGATGAAAAGAAGTTGGATTAGCCCCCAAATGAATACCATATCTCATGAATAATGAGAAACTGGTAAATATCTTTGTGCAAGGGCATAGGGAACCTGGTGTTGGTGCTTAAGTCCATTCTTGTGCAGAGCAGCAGTGTGCCCTGTCACTATGTTATTTAGAACAGACCTCCAAATTATTTCAAATATTAGAGGCAAAAACCTCACTGTAGTACCTAGATGTGTTCCGTTGAGCGTCTGACTTCTCCCGCTCTCTCTCTTGTAATACATCTGAGAGCTCTTCACACCTGGTAGAAAGGGTGGAACGTGCTGGATCTGAAGTTTGCTCAGCTTTCAATAGATCCACTATCATCATGAGATTTGACCTTTCTGCTTTTTCATTTTTTGAACATGAAAAATGCTTGTGTTGAAGTTATTGCTGAAATGGGAACTAGTCCTGACTAAGTCGATGCTGTTGAATTCACTGTGAAAGATGTATTTCAGGAGACTAATGAGATTATTCTCTAGACTTTTTTTTTTATTTTATTTTTTCCCTCAGAATGCAGCAGTTGCTTTTTCTGCTCTTGTTCATGCGCTTGATGAGTTGAATGTGGTAGCTATAGTGCGATATGCTTATGATAGAAGATGCAACCCGCAAATTGGAGTAGCTTTACCGTGTATTAAGGATGCATACGAGGTAATTTTTCACCCTTCCCTTTCTGTAGCATGCTTTACAAATATCAATGTATAAATGATCACATTTGAACCATATGAATTTGCAGTGTTATGTATATCAGAAGAATATATGAATATATATTCTTTTGTAATCAGAATAAATCAGAATCAGGTAAATCAGAATCAGAAATTTTGTAATATATGTATATCAGAAGAAACCAATGTGACTTTTCAGAGTGGTTTTAGGAAATAGTGCCAAGTCTTAGGACAAGGAGGTAATAAGTAGTATTAAGAAAATTCCATTAAAAAAAAAAAAAATAATGCCATATGTTTCTGTTAGTATTCTCTATATTACAGATTTAAATAATACGGATTTTTATTTTGGTAACGTAGTAATAATTTAATTTGGTTATCCTGGAAATATCTTTTTTTTTTTTTTTATTCTAGGAAGAGTGCAATCACATACTTACATTACCACTGCTTTCTTGCTGTGTTACTATCTACCTCTCTACGTACAATCCAAAGTTGCATTAGATTCTTTAATTTTCTTAAACTGTGGATTTATCTTCAGGTCGCTTGGTAGTGAAAAATTTGAATTTGATAGTTGGTGTGGCATTTCAAGCATGTCCAACTGTGCTGTTGTCATTAGGTTTCCAAGTGAACTGGAACTGGGGGGAGGAGCTGACAGCATTTAAAGCTGTTGTTTAAGTTCATATGGAGAGTTAAGAAGACAGTAGTATATTTATTTATTTGAAAAGGTTATTTTTAAAAATTGGAAAGAAAAAAAAGTCTGTTTCTTAGGAAAAAATAAGAAAGTTCTGTAGACAGCAGAATAATTTGAAATATTTTTTAAAAAATTCTGGGAGACCCAGAAACAACACAGTATGTCAGAATTTTTTTGCAGCATATGTTTCCACTGATCTTACTTACGAGAGACTATTGAAAGAGCTAAATATGTGTAGCATGGCTAAGCAATGACGAAGGTGGGGGCGGACATAACAATCTTCAGACTTTTGAAGGGTATAAACATAAAGGAATTATTTAGGGTGGTATGAACTGGAGGAGGTATTTGAATAAAGAAAAAAAAATTAGACTGAGAATGTTCAAAAGACCAAACCCAGCTTTTGACTTCGAAGTGCAGTAAGCTATGATAAAACCTCCCAAAGTGCTCATGTGTGGGAGATTTAAATCTTGGCAAGTTGGAACTCTGCACAAGAAAAAGGGATCAGATGACCCGGGAGGCCTTTATTCCACCAGTAGGAAAATGAGGAGTGTAGCCATGACTGTCTTATAAAATAATGCTGTGTTTTATTCTGCTTAAAAATGTGTTGCTCTGTAAATATTTTAACTATTTTGATACACTCAGATACTAGATCTTTGGATTTTTCTTATGTTTATATTGCCCTGATAGGGCACTTTGGGATAGTTTAGATTTTTTTTATTTAAGGCTCAGTTGTTTGTTTCTTCTTTTTCCCTGCTCAGTGTCTCATCTATGTGCAGCTACCCTACATGGAAGACTTAAGACCGTACATATTTTCATCCCTGAAAAACAATAAAAAATGCATTCCTACAGGTAAGATAATCCTTTGCTGGGATTATCCAAGTAACCTACTTGTCTTCCTTTAAGACACTATAAAAGAACTAGCATATTTGGCTTTCCAACGAAAACATAAGCTTTGTCATTTTTGTGGCTTAGGGGAAAAAAAACCCAGCCCTTTGGGAATACATTATGGTGATGTCATTTTTCAGCGTGAATCTTGTGTCAAAACTTTGCCAGCTTAGTTGCAGGCTGAGCAGACTTGAGGTTTGCAGGCAGCCTTTTAAAGCTCTCCTGTTAAATGACTTCTGGCTCGGGTTATGGGATTATTAGTCTCATGGGATCTCTGTGATAGACTTCTGGGATTTAGTCCTCCGTATCCTTTGATCTTTGAACTCATTTGTTAGGCAGAATGGCCGAACCTTGTGGGACCTACAGTATGGGATTAGCTGGTTAGAATTAGAATAGAGGCATCAGCTCCATTCATATGAAGCTGGTCCTGTGGCCAGTTACAGCCTGTTAATATAATGCACAAAGGCAAAGCCTGTATTTTCTGTGGTGTGTGGCTTTTTAAAGCATGCACTTACTGGTGTCCAGATTCAGATGGAAGCTGTCTTTGGAGACCTGTAGGACATGCAGCCATGCAAAGCTTGACTCACTGTTCTGAGAATTCTGCACAGCAATGAGCATAAATGGATATAGTTTAAAATCCACTCCCACTTCTTTAATTTGTTCTGAGATCCACTGAATGGGCATCTGCGCGTCAGGGTATATGAAACATGCTGAGTTGTTTCTGAAATAGTTTCTATTTTCTTGCCTGTAACCAGCAGTTTGAGAACAATTCTAAAACATATCTTACCAAAGCAATATTTGTCTATTGTGAACTGTGTTAATTTGCAATCATAACTTTTTAAAATTTATATTACACTGTTTTAGTTTTTCAAACCAACTGCTCTCCTTATTTGCTAAGTGGCCTATAAACCTTCTGTTGCAAATAAAAACATCTTGAAAAAGAAGAAAAGTGGAAGCAGAAAGGCAGCAATAGTTGAGGTCTTGGGGGGGAAAAAAAAGTATTTATGACTTTAAATTGTAGTCCTTAAATAAAGCAGGGGTTTTATTAGTGTGTCCATTGTCTATATTCTTTATTGTCACATCTTATCTAAAGTGTATTCTGTGGCATGTAGTGACTTCGTCAAAATCTCATGTTGTGAAGTGTATCTTCATGTATAAATTGTTTCAAGAAATGCATTCATCTGCAAGTGTATTTAATTTTTCTTTGTATGTAATTGCTGCCTTAGCGGATCAGTTATCTGCTGTTGACTCTTTGATTGATTCTATGAATCTGGTTTGTGAAGATGATGATGGAGAAACTTTTGAGGACCTCTTTAAGCCTAGTAAAATTCCAAACCCTCATTTTCAGAGGCTGTATCAGGTGAGGTGATGTATGTGGCATTTTTTAAAATACTGCTTTTGTTAAGACTTTTCACCTTTCTGTCTTGTTCTGATTCATATTGGAAAGATCTGCGTTGTGAAGATGGGAATAGAAATTCTTTTGTGTTTACGTGTGGGGTAGCCAGTGATTTCTATGTTGTCCCTTACGTAGATTTTATTCTTAAAATTTCGAGTTTCCAGGAAGCAAAGGGAAATCAAATCTTGAGCAGTCACTTTTCTGTGCATTAGTGCATCTTGCAGTGGTTCCAAAACAGATTAATTTGAGGTGAGCTTGATCAGTAGTAAATGGTTGACGTTGACATTTAAAATATTCCATTTGGGTGCCTGAGCTGACACATTTTATGGGCGAGTAGAACAGTTCACACTTCTTGCAGTTATTGTATCAAGCTGTCTACATCTTGATTTACATTCCTTTCATATCTTGAAGATTTTCATTGCAACTGTGAGGATGAGAGACTTAATTATACATTGGAATTCAAGTGTTCAAAAAAAATGACACAGCAAATTCAAAAATAAGGAAAATTACGATGCAATTTATGCAGCTGCAGAATTGTGTTTTATACAGAGCCATAGAGATATATTGGGTGCGTGACTCCACTCTGAAAATTGACCGAAAATGGTGTTATAGCAACTATGTTCATCATATCTCAACAATTCCAAATGAAACTTTTCAGTTTACAAGTAGGAAAAAGTTACTTTTTTAAGCTAAGAAAACTTACCCTAGCTTCCAAAAGCCATGCTGTCTAAGTATCGTCAAAAGAAGCAAAGGATCTGAAGGTCATGTGTATGTTTCAGGAACACATGTAAGCCCACTGTCTTCAACTCCTACTCTGATTGACATTTGAAGAACTCGGTGTTCCCTTCAAATTCTGCCAGTCATATTGACAAGACAGTGTGTAACTGAATGCAAGATTTGGTCAGTAGAAGGTTATTGCTTGGCAAGGGCTTAAAATGCGTGGACCTCTGCATGACTTTTATTTTAGGAAGGGTTGTAAAGCTTGGGTATTACAAAACAAATACAGTTTTGCTTGTAAATGAAATGCATAGGGGATAGAATTTCCTCTAGAATATCACTACATATAATTATTTTGGTTCAGTGAATGTTGCCTGTCAAAGAATGATATTTCTTTAGGTGTGCCATTTGTCTTCTGAAACAGTATGGCGGTGTTGTCCCGGCAGTTGAGTCCAGTGCTGCTAGAAGAGAGTAACTGCGTAACTCATCAGATTCCTTAGAGGATAATAGACTTTTGTAAGGGTGAATGATACTGGTGGAAATCTATTTATTGATTGTTTCAACATACTATGTAGTATACAGTTCCTGCCCACAGTGCCTGCTGTTTATAAAGCCCTAAATTACCAGTCCTTGTAGTGCTTTCTTTTGCCTGTGCACAGCCCTGTTTTTTTTGTCTTGGTTACAAAACTGCTATGAATCTATGTAAGTTACAGAAAGATTGTCCTCTCCTTTGCTGCAGACATGTTCCAGATTCTTACTATTTTGAGCTTAGACCAAGTGGCACTGCTGGTTCTCTAAGAACTACATAGAAAAATTATGCATCATCTTTTGAATGTAGCCAGTACATTGATTGGGCTCAACAGGACCCATCAAGGGTTTTGAAAAATGACTCTGAAGAAAGGATGAACTCCCCTTCATTTCCTTGCTCTGTTGCCTCATGAAGATATTTGGAATGATAAGTGACAAGAGCCAGAACTTAACCAGAAACATCAAGCTAAATTATGTCTCTGGAAGTAGTGGTAGGCATCAGGAAATGACAGGGTGGGTGGAAGGGAGTTGCTAATGCTTGCTTGAGTGGAAGATGAGGAATATCCTATATCCAGAGTTTCAATTTTTAGTTCTTGCTTCCAGAACAGCCTAACTGAACTTCCATAGCTTTTGTGGTGACAGACTTCCAACTTCATTGTTTAAGTTGTTTGTCTTAAACACAAGGATTTGAAGCACATAAGATGTTTGGGGAATGCAGTGCATTTTACTTGATAGCCTTTTAACGTTGCTTCCTCTTCCTTCTGTTAAAAGGTCCCTTTTAACCTTGATTCCTCTTCCTTCTGTGCCCAGCAAAGGGACTGTTTGGGATTAGAAACTTCAGGTTAGGTCTGTTCAGCTTCATCTCTGTTTAACAGTTTTGATGGTACCTGCCATCTCAGGTTTCAGAGGTCACCATCTACTCTGAAAACAGGAACGAGTGGAGACTGTGTCTGTTTAGTGTGCTCAGCTCTTGCAGCTGCACACATAGAGATCTCACATGCAAAAGCCTGAAAAACACATTGACAACAGGGGACTTAGGTTTTTTTGCTTTGTGAGTTTAATTCAATCCCCTAATGTTGTTTTAATATTGTTTTTTTTGTATCACAAGAGCCATTACTGCAGCTTCCAGCAACATTTTTACTCTCTTTCAAAATAATTGTGCCTCAAATCATTACAAGTGTTTCCAAATCAGTAGCCTTGTATGACGGCCTCCTTTTGAAAGTATGCTCTAATATGGATTGGAATCTTAATGGCAGCATGAAAGCACATCAGTATTGATGTGTAGCATATGGTCTGGATTTTCTTTATTGGCAGCTTTTCAGCATGAATAGAGGGGGTTTTGTTTCTTTGGTTTTGTTTTTTAAATTAATGTCATGTCTGACAGCCAACAGGGGAGGAAATCTCTGCTGTATTCCTAGTTTACTGAGTAGTTACCTTCACACTTGTGTCTAATTCACCCAGTATAACCAGCTTGGAAAAATTATTCTCCCATGTACATCACATATTTTTAAGTATGTATGTGTGTGCATGCACTGATATATGTGCGTATATATATGCATATACACATATATCTCTACTGCTGTCCTACATTTCATAGCATTTTAGAGATACCTACTTTGTTTTTAAAATTCTCAATGGAATTTCTGTAGCCTCATTAACATAATCTCTCTCCCTCTGCTTTGTTCCCTGACTAGTGCATTGTCTTTACACTTTGGTGAAAGCCTTCTCCTCTGTAGCTCCTACTATCTGTTCCAACTTTGATGTACATCTGTCAGGCCCCTTTATTCCCTCACTCTTTTCAAAGCTAATTTGCAAACATACCTATATTCTGTGCCTCACCGGTGCACATTTGACTTCTCTCTATTTGCTCTTAAACGGGTGACAATTTCTCTTGTGTGCTTTCTGAGTTTTATTGACAAAGAAGAAATATTTTTCTTTGAGGGACGATAAACTGTGACAATAACTGGAATATAAAGTTGGGGTATATATCTTGTTGCCTAATTTTGGAATGTATAGAAATCTCTCCCATGTGACTGTTTCATAAGAGAACTGCACTTTAAAGGTAAAGCAAAGTTAAAAAGTTGAATAGATGCAGACGACTGTTTCCTTCCTGGGATTTTACTAAGAATTTTCATAGAACTCATTCCAGTGAGTATGGGAACACTGATCTGCATCAGTATTCTTTTTTAATAACATTATTAATCTCCTTATAATGCTGATCATATGACTTTCAGTCCACTCGTGCTGGAATATTTGTCAGCAATATGAAAATAGTTTCCTTAATACAGAAGGTATTTTGCATGTGCCATACAATCTCAGGCATAAGGACATTATATTAAAAGCACATATAGAAAAAGTTTTTCTTTGCTCAAATTGTTTCTTGCAGTGTTTGCAACATAAGGCTTTTCACCCCAATGAGCCATTGCCACCAATTGAACAGCACCTTCTTGAGATGCTGGAGATGCCCCATGTGGTAAAAGAAAAGTGTCAGGCTCCGCTTGAAAAAGTAAAGGCACTTTTTCCCCTAAAGGAAGTTGGCAAGAAAAAAGAAGAGAAGACTGCTCAAGACATCTTCAAAGACAAGTAAGTTGAAGATGTATTATGGATTTTTTTGAATTTTTTTTTTTACACTTCAAATTGTTTTTGCTGAATGAAGCAGGCTCAGAGTCTTTTGAACATAAGATCAATGAGCTACACGCTGAAAAAAATGCTGATGGTTGGAGAATGTCTGGGGTATTTTGTGAGTAGTGGTGGTCTTACTGTTATGGGGCAAGACACACCAGGAACCAGTCTGTAGCTTCCTCATGTCTGTATTTGTTGTCACAGAATCACATAATCCATCAGGTTGGAAGGGACCTCAGGAGGTTTTTTGTTCAACCTGCTGCTCAAAGCAGAGTCACCCGTGAGACTAAAAAGGTACCTCAGGGCTTCACCCAGTCTGGTCTTCAAAACGCACAGAGATGGAGGCTACACATCCCCTCTGGGCAACCTCTTGCATTGCTTACTCTCTCCTGGCCAAACAGTTTGTCCTACTGGTAGTTATAAAATAGTTCAAATAGGAATAACACAGGGTCTAATTTAGTTTAGAATAAATGCTGCAGAGCTTTAAATTAGCTGTAATGATGAGTCTTCCTTCTCGGCTTGCTCAATTTAGGTCGCTTGGTAGCTTTCATTTTGAATTCCAAATCGAAAGAAAAGCAGCTTGATTATTATCTGCTGTGCAATAAATGTAGATGTCTTGAAAAATCAAACTGTTATGGACTCTTCCTGGAACATCTATTGTCTGAACAGTTTTTAAGATAATTCTTTTTTTTTTCTGTTACTACATATACTGTGTTTACTTTATTCGTGCTGCAAATATGAAGCATAAATGCTTAACTGCCACAGCATTGGTACTGCCAAGTCAATTAGCTTAAACAAAATCTGTTTCTTAGAGCTTAATTTATCGAATACCTGCAATATAACTAGTGGGTCTCCTGGGATGTTGGAGAGATCTCGGTTAGCTCCTTCTCTCTCCTTTTTTGTCATTTCTAGCTCAGTCCTTTCAACATCTTTGAGCCATTTTGAGACCTTGCTTAGCTGAGCTGTCATATATCCTTTACCTTGGGTTGGCTAGAGCCTCCTCAGCATGTTATCTTTGGGAAGACAGGACATAAGACTTCTCACATTACTGCAATGGTATAATGACCACATTTCTCTGTACAGACTGGGAAACACCTCGCTTCTTATTTTCTTCATTGCTGTGTATTCCCGTCTTGCCTTAGTATGTCTGTGATTTCATACTGATTAAATTCTCTTCTCCTTGCTCTGTACCCCAGTTTCTCTGTGCGTGTGTGCATGCATACATATGTTTATATGTGTATTTTAAAAAATGATAGAACCAGTTTTAAAAAAAAAAAAAGGGGCAAAACAAGTTCAAAAAATCTAGGGAGAGACAACAAAACCAGCAACCCATTACGGGCAGTTGCTTAAAAACATATTGTCCCAAAGGCATCAATTTGACAAGCAAGAAGGAAAGTTATTTTGTTTAAAAACTGGCTTCCTTTAGAGGGGTGATGAAAGCAGCTATTAAAATAATTGAGATAGAAATTGGTGTAAGGCATTAAAATGATTTTTAAAAAAACATCTGTAAGGGAGGCAAAAGGATACAGACTGAACTATGCAAAGAAGAATGAATGGAAATAGGATTTAAAAATACGGGAAAAAATGGTGTTGCTGTAGTAATGCACGGGAACAGTAGTATTGTCAGTACTACAACAGAAGTGTTAACTTAATGTTTTTGTTCTGTGTTTGGGGAAAAGCTGAGTGCTTTAATTAAATCACTTGATAAAGAAAAGCACATCGGTCTGCAACAATGACTAAGGAATATGTTAAACACCAGATAACTTTCAACGTATTAAAACTCAGATCTAGATAATTTGCACTAAAGTGTTTTGAAAAAGTTGGCTAGAAGCTCTCTTGACTTGTCACAAGTAGGATCCCCCAGGGATCAGTATGAGGCCAATGTTGTTTAATATCTTCATAAGTGATCTGGGTGACAGGATCAACTGTGGTCTGATGAAGTTCACTGATGATACCAAGCTGAGTGGGGAAGTGGACACTTCAGAAGGGAGACCCACCCTGCAGGAAGACCTGGATAGGCTGGAAGAGTGGGCTAACAAGAACCTTATGAAGCTCAACAAGGACAAGAGAACAGCCACAAAGATGGTCAAAGGACGGTGAACCTGCCATGTGAGGAAAGGCTGAGACAATTGGGTTTGTTCAGCCTTGAGAAAAAAAGACTTTGGGGAAACCTTATCACCATCTTCCAGCAATTAAAGGGTGACTACGAAGAAGATGGAGACTCTGTTTTTACAAGGAGACTCATGGAAAAGGGGTAATGGGTACATGATACTCCTGATACTCCTGGGGTGATTCTGATTAGACACGAGGAAAATTTTTCACCACGAGAACAACAAACCATTGGAATAATCTCCTCAGGCTAGTGATGGATTCCCCAACATTGGACACTTTTAAGATTCAGCTGGACAGGGTGCTGGGCATCTTGTGTAGACCATCCTTTTGCCAAGAAAGTTTGGACCAGATAATCCTGAGATCCCTTCCAACCTGGTATTCTATGATATTGACCTGATCCTTCTCTGCTTAATTTTTAAGGTCTAATGTGATTAAAGCAACATAAATGTAGGCATGATATCTTAATACAGATGTTAATATTCAGCACTCATTTGTTTCACTTTTGCTAAGCTTTGTGTAGTTTAAAAAAATCCAGTAAAATAGAAAGCATTTTACTTTTTCTTTCTTAAGTTGGCTTTGGAGAGACTGTTCCCTCATCCAGCTTTGCAGTATGTGAGAGGCTCTCTATAAATGTAGAAGCAGGTGTTTTAAATTGTATTGTATTTTATTGCTTTTTCTCAAATAGCAATTGCACATTTTACAGTTTAAAAATACTGCTAATCAGTGCATTACCAGTAACAGATTCTAGATGTCAGACCCTTAGCTGGTATAAATGGGTATGGATTCATTAGTTTCTGCTGAACTGCACTGATTAATGACACCTATAGATTTGGTCGTAGGCAGTTAAATGCAGCAGCAGCATTTATGTTCTCCTCCTTCATCCAATCCCAAAGCATTTTGAATTGGTAAAAATAAAGTGGGAGGATAAAGATTTCAAGATATTGCAACTGAGTGCAAAACACCTTTGGAGAAAAAGATTCTAGAAGAGAATTTTCATTGTTCTTTGCACCTTTCATCAAACCACATGAATATACAAGCATTTTGGTTCAAGTAGAAGTTCTAAACTCACTGGTGTTAAATAAGCATCAGTTTTCTCCATTTTACAGACAGGTGTATTGGCTGTCCACAGCAATCAAGCACCTTGTTCAAGTTCAGCCAGAAAGTCAGCGGAGTTGAGAATGAAGCAAGGTATCCTCTCCTTGTCACAAAGCATAACCAAAGTCATCGCTTCTCCTCAAGTGATAAGTCCGGTTATGTTGGATGACAGGAGTTGCTGGGGAGAAGGGATTTCATTTCAGTAGTGACAAAATTAAGTAAAGGACAGAGAAGACTACTGAAACAAAGTGGGACAGACACTGATTGTAAAGTAGGGGAGGAGTGTGCTATAGAAAGTAAAAAGGAAGAATGTACAAGTTCTTTCTCATAGTTTATTGGTTCTGTAACGTTGCAATGCAAGTTTTAAAATCGGTTCTAACCTTGTAGAATGCAAAGTGGCACCTAGTCCAGGATCCCTGGCTTTGTCCCTGCATCATCAAGCAGTTTCTTCTTTTCACTACAGTAGTAGAATTTTTAAGACAAACTTCTTTGTTTTGGGATTCCTTGAGCACAAATACTGCCGTTTAGATTGCTGAGTAGATTTCAGTCATTCTTAAACTGAAATCGATTCTTCTGTGTCAGTAGCCTGTCACATTAAGTGACATAGAACATGGTGTCTGATTTTCTTCCCCGTTTGTGATTAGCTGGGCTTTGTTCTGTTGCCAAGATGTGCTCTAAAGTTTGGCATGTTGGATGTTACGATTAAGTCTCTGGTTTGAATGTACACCTTGGTATATGTTACCTGTGAGGGCAGAGCTAGAAAGTAGCCTAAAATCACAGTTAGCTTTTTAAAAATAACAAATAGTCTTTTGAAAGCATTTTGAGATGCAGCTTAAAATGTTCTAAGATGTTCTTATATACTTAACTGGGGTTTGTCTAGCAGGTTTTGACTCCTGTAAGTAGAAGTTTATACAGCACTCGTGCGCTGATACAGGATATTTTAAACTCCAAAGCCACTCTATAAGCAGATTTGTAGTAGCTATTAATTCCAGGACAGGAACTAATAGGTAATTTTTGAAGAGTAAATGAATTTCTTACTAAAATGTCGTTTCATTGCCATTTAATGTTACGAAGATCTGGTGAGAATACCAAATGTCATGTAATATACTGTAAATCATGTACTGTAAATTATCAAGGTTAACACAATATACCGGTTCTAAATAAAGTGACCGGAGTTATTATGTATTTAGAAAGGTGGAGAAGATGTGTATGAGTAAATTGACTCCTGAAATAGGCATGAATAATCTCGCATCTTCAACAAGCACTGCCTTTGCTTTATACTAAGATAAAGTTTGATCTCTGTTTCTACTGTCTGCTTTGTGCAGGGGAAAATGAAGCATGGTTTAGTGTTAATTTGGGAACAGCTGTATAATGAAGTTTTGTTCAGTGTATATTTCATTCATTTACTAACTTCCTACTTAGTAGGCAGGACAGTTTACTTGAAGTGTTTATATTCATTTTTGTCCTTCTCATTTGCAGCAGTGAAGATGGACCCAAACCTAAGAAACTAAAAATTGAAGATGAGGAAGGTACCTTTAGCATCATGAAACTTGCTGAAGGCAATGTCACCTCTGTAAGCATATTTTTACAAATCTGATTAATAAAGGGGAAAATTCATTTCTCTAACTGTATTATAGTGAATGTACAGAATTCCTCATAAAAGGACGGTTTCTAGCTAAAATATGACTGAAAAATTGTCTGCTTGTAGATTTCAGAGACTCTGCTAGAGATTTAAAGACCGTTTCCACTACCCTTATGTCTATGTTAGCACAACTTTCCATCAGTCTTGGATATTTTAGGACAAAATTCTCTTTCAGTGTCTAGAACTCCGAAGGGCAAGCCTGAGGATCTGAAGAAAACAGAATCTCAAATTTGGGGTTCAGTAGTTGAATTTTGTTCTTGTTCTCTTTCATCTGCAACATGTTGCCTCTGTATATTTAATCAAAGGTATTGCTGAGATTTTTAGAGGCTGTTCTCTGCATTGATTTGGGTTCTAAATCACAAATTTGGCTTCATTTTGGTGACAGGCTAAACATCTAACTTAATTATAAATATTATGTGCATGGGTAGATGAGGCCTGTATCGTAACTGTGTATCTTCCTTTATTTGATTTTTCAAATTTCAAGAAAAAAAGGTGATTTAATATTAATTGAGATAACTTCACTTGTTGCCAAACTGCCCCTTAAGGTTTGTTTTAAAATCCGTGATTGAGATTTTAAAAAATAGTTAAAAACTAAGACAGATTTTGTACTCTTAATATACACTTCTGATTTTTCCTTAAAAGTGGCATTGCCAGGTTTAAAAGAAACATGAAACCAAGCACACTTATTGAAAGATTGAAGAATTATTTTGACAGCAAAGCACAAAGTTTTGAAATAGACGTAGGAAAATTTTGATTCCTGAAAGGAAATGTTAAGCAATGTAATTTGTGTTTTCTAAAGTCATTGCATCTGTTTTTCAGTAGACGTTTATTTATATTTGACCTGGTTTTAGTTTAGTTTGTAAGGGTTCTGCACTTGTGCACCCGTTTAGAGCTTCAGCTTTAATATGTCAGACTAGGCCAGAAAGGGTAAATGAATTAAGTGCAAGCTTTTAATTTTGAGCTTCCTATTGGAGTGGCAAACCAATGATTCTGTACCCACATGCCTGGGAGCTCCCATTCCTCATTAAGCGTCTGTCAAGATTAGTGAGAGGTCTGTGCCACGGGAAGTCTCAAAGCTGAACTAGCAGATAGCCTGAATTACTCTGCTTCTGACCTCTAAACCCCAGGGAATATGGTTGGCTTATAAGAGTGCAGGGTACTAAGTGTAAGTTCATCTTGCTCATGTCATAACTAACCTTTGCTGGAAGTGCTGCGCACACATTGTAAGACTTTCATTTTATGAGTCTGCATGCAGAGAATTGTGAACCTTCTGTTTCCATATTAAAATACACAGAAATTTAAAGATCCTTGTTACCTTGCAAGAATAAAGAAGTGGATGTTGGCAGACGATTGTATCATTTTTGGACCTTTTGTAGGTTGGCAGTGTTAACCCAGGAGAAGATTTCCGAATTCTGGTGAGGCAGAAAAATGCTGATTTCAAAGACGGTAAGTGACTTTTATTTATCTTAATTGTATTTGGTAGCATCTTCAGGGTTCAGTAAATTCAATCCATTTGTCTAAGAATATGTTTCTAATGCTGTGTGAGATGCTCTGGAATTCACTGCTTCACTTCTAGTGCCACTCAGCTAAGAAAGTTGTCACTCGTAATTCCCATGTTAGTATTTGCCTTCCCCATTTGAAAGTCTCAGATACCTGTGTTTGTGTAAGATGGCACTAGACATTGAGGTATCTGAACAGCAACTCAGGTGTTCTAAGAGAAGATCTCTTGGCACTGACTGACAGCCTCATTCAAACTGGGCTTCTTATCAGGCTTCATGGGATCTTTCTGGCTTGGAGTGGAGGGATGATCACTGCGTGCAGAGTGAGAAGCCTGTCTTCTGCTGTCTACTTGTTCTGTTCTATGAAGAAATAAGAATCTGATGCCTGGGATTTAAATCTTTACATGCAAAGATCAGTTCTTACTGCTTGTTGTGAGCCAAAGAAAGCACAGGTGAATTTAGGGTGTAATAAGCTGGTAATATGTGACTCTTAAAGATGAAAGCAGGATCAGTGTGCACCAAATCTATTCTCAGCATGCAGCAAGACAGGATTTTGATGCAGAGGCAAGGAAGAATACAAAGCACAGGTCAGCCACTGTCTTGCATGCCCCGAGTCTGAAAATGAAAGGAACTATCATTTGTTTGGTATTTCCCGACTGGAGTAGCCATCCAGAGATATATATAATCCAAAGGTATCCTAAAAAGAATGCACAAGATGGATGAGGTCTTTTTGTTCTTTTAAAGAATGATTTGAAGGTTGTGGCAAGATAAACCTCATCTGCTGAATAGCCACTAATGCAGCATTCCTTTTCAAAGAAAAAGATTTGCAGAGGTGCTGAAGTGAGGTGCTGGGTATTTCAACAAGGACTATGGTCTTTTTGGACGTAGTTTGAGGAGGGTGTTGAGTAGTATATTGATTTCTGATACAGGCTGTTAAAGCCTACATAGCTATTTCTCTACGGAATTACAGATCCATAAGCCAGCTTTTTACATGGATTTTGCATTAGATCCAGAAGAAATTGTTTATTGAAAAAATATTTGGAACTGTGTTCTCAAATCTCAGATATACTAAGCTGCAGTACAAAAGCATTGTACGATATATTAGAATGCAGAAACTGTGAAACAATTGACTACGTTGGTATAGTAATTAATTTTATTGTGTAGGAAAGCTTTAAGGCAGAAATAAGTATAGTGATTACCCTTGAAGGTGGTTTAACAAAGGAGTGCTTAAATATGTCCACTTGGTAGCTGTGCTGGAGAGAACTGCAGTACGTGATTGGATGGCTTCTGAAATGTTGAGCAATCTGCTTTTATTTTATGTGTGATCTGTTCTGTAATTATAAGGTGTGGTTAGACAGAAGGTAGTGCAGTCACCCATCTACAGGAGAGATAGAAGCCACTATAAATAAAAACATGCTCTGCATATTATTTTTTTTATTCTGCATAATCCTTTTTCTGCTTTAGAGCCTTTTAGGTAGCTTAATACATAAAACATTACAGGCATGTTTTAATGGCTTGCTGTATTGCATTCTGGTTATGTAAATAGTAAATTCTGCCTTAAAACTATTCAGTGGTTCTAAGGGGTTTCTTTTAGTATCATTTTCTATCATATTTAGTGATGAAACTTTTTTTCCTCTGCTAAACCATGTGAAATGTAAAATGTCTTTGCAGGAAAGGATAATCTGTGGCATTCAAATAGTTTATTGGAAAAAAGCCCCAACAATGACATTATATGTCAGGATGCAGACAGAAGAACTATTAGGTTGCATCCTGTTTTGCTTCTTTCTTGTATAAAAAGAGCATCTAGTGTAGTCTTCCAAACTGAATAGAGTCTACGTTCTTATCTTTAAAAAGGCAGTAATTCCTTCTTCCTCCCTTCCCCACAAAATAGCAACAGACTCCCTCCATAGAGAGGAGAAAGGACTTTCAACTGTTTGTTTGCTTGGGCGTGGGTTTTTTTGGTAGATAGAGAAGTTGTAGCAATAGGAAAAGCTGTACTTCAAATACTGACAGTACAGTGGCTCACTAATTAAACTGCAGGTTCATGGCATGCATCCTCTTCAGTCCACAGCAAGTCCCTCACCAAAATTATAAAATCATCAAGACCAAAGTATGGCAAGGGATATTTATTTTTTACACAGCTTGTAGGAAGTTCTAACGGTATATTTATCCTTGTAAATGAGTACCAATGCATCTGCTGCAGTGGCCTCACTGGGATTTGATGATCAGAGTTTGTGCTATTCATAGGAGAAGCCGATGATGCGCGCGTTAGACAGCCCATGTCTGAGTGCTGGGTCTCATGGCAGACCAGGGCAGGAGAAACGATGCATTCGCTGTTAGTGAGAACTGGGTCACTAATGTATAAACACATTTTTAAAGAAAATCTCAGGGTTTCAAATTGGCAAGGGCCTTAGGGATAGGTTTTCTGAGACTGGCAGCTCAATTCCTGAAACAGTAATCAACTTTGGTTTTAATTGACATCTGTGTAGTTTATTACAGTAGGGACCCACTTACGGCTTACGTGATGAATTGTGTGTGAGGGTGTCAACTTACTGGTTAATGTTAATTGCTCATGTAACTAATATTGCATTTCCCTTCCAGATATCTTTACTTTCTTGTTTGCATTCATGGCCAGAGAGATGTCATTTTATGCAGGTCTTATTTTGAGCAGGTTACAAGTGCACAGTCATCACAAAGAGCAGTGTTCTGATAACAGCTTCTGACACTTTTGTCAATGAATGCAAACAAAATAGATTAGTTTGCCTGAGTGGAATCTAATTGTTGCTCCCAAGGGTGTACAATGAGTTTCTGCATTGCTGTGGCTGCAAAGAAGATTCTCAAATTCAGCGAGTGCTTGCGATCTTTGAAATGCCAAAGGAGTAGCCACATGACTACCAGTTCATCCTGTTTGACTACTTACAGTTTTCCATCCATGTTTCTGGAGAGCAGAAAGTATCTGATGGGGTTGTTGTATTTTCATATGCTTCTGTAGAAGATAGGATGGCTTAACAGGGGGTAAAAAAGATACTGACAAATGAATAGTATTTTCTTGGGTTTCTAAATTTTCTGTGCAAATTTATAGACGAGATTTCATTGCACCTTACAGGACTGCTATCTGAGAACTTGATGTCTCAAGTCCTGTAGTTGAAAGAGCTTTTTTTATTTTACTGACTGTCAGTGAAGAGAGAAATCTGCAGTGACAACTGTACAGTTTATGGACATAACGAAAAATATGTCCAGAGACAAATTGTACCAAGTGCTCATTTTTATATTTATAGCAATTTTGTTAATATTTTTATTCCTAGAAAAGTAAAGTTAAGAGTCAGTAATTACACTGGTTTTGCACTGGATGCTTTATATGCAAAGAAGAATTGTGTATAAGAGATTTGCAATGGGAATTTATTAGACAGTTGCAACAAGAATGATATTTTATGGCAAGATTTTCTGTGGAAATGTATATAGCTAACTACCTTTCTAGACCTTAAGATAATTTATAAAAACCCTAGTATTTACTTTCACTTTTTGTTGGCATATGTCTTTGCAGTTAGTCTGCATTTTTATCTTATTGGATTTTTTGTGTGTGTGTGTATTTTGGAAACTATTCATGCTCTACTGCTAGTTAGGCCAAGTGCAATAACTGGCTTGATGAAAATGATTCAGTCATTGGAAGAGTATTTGCAAACCAAATACTTGAGTATATAAGATCACTTTGAAGTTTCCTGTGTGTCTGCTTCACAGAGAAGATGAAGCCAGATTCGTCTTTGAAGGGCCTGGTGATCGGGTGAGACGCAAAGCTCTGAGTTGCAACAAACAGAATTTAGATTAGATGTTATAGGAGGGGAAAAAAAACCCCTCACAATGATGGTAGTCAAACAAGGAAAGAGGGGGCCAGGGAACTTGGAGATTCTCCATCTTTGGAGCTATTTGCTACTCAAGTCAGTGGAGCTGCCTGGTCCACAGGGACCCTGGTTTGAGCAGGGATTTGGACCAGACGTCCTTCAGACATCCAGCTTAGATCATTCTGATCCACACCCACACACCAGTTAGAGACACCATTTCAAAATTGAGCAGCACCTCAGAGGACACTGGAGTAGTTCAACGGGTCTTGATCTTAAAATCCTTATTTCTTGGCTTAAAGAAGAAGGAAGTCCTCAGAAAGTTTGGACAGTTTTCTGTTTATAGTCTCTTTCTTCTTTTCAGTTACAAAAAGATGATACTTACAGAGCAGTAATTTACAATTTATTATCAAGTGGTTGAACTGATTTGTCAGTGACTTATTTAAGCACTGTCCATTAATACAAATCATTACACCACCAATGGATAAATCAAAATATCGGTAACAACAGGAGTCTTTTGTCTACAGAAAGAGCTATTTTTTTAATTCGATGAATTTTTTAGGGGGAGGAGAAATCCCCAAGGAATTGGAACTTGGACTGTAATACAGCCTTATCTATTACTATGCTGTAAGCTGGTTGGCACAGTAATCAAGACCAAGGACTGAACGGAACAAACATGAAAATATAACTACACTTTTGTACTCTATTCGGGGATAACAAGTGAACGTAATTGTTCGTGGCATATTTCACAAGAAATAACAGCACTGGTGAATGTATCCTAGAGTAGGGAATGTATCTGAATGCCAGTGGGGAAGGGAGTACATTCTGGTAGAGCTAAAATGTCTTCTATTCAAAGATATTTTTTTACAATTTTTTTTAAAACTGTGGTTCTCCAGCCTTTAATCACTGTGTTTGGTATCTAACCAATCAGGTACAGTAAAAGAGGGAAGCAGAAGATTAAAATTTCTTGGGATGATCTGCAGAATGTGGTGCTTATTAGGAGTGCTGGAATTCCAGTTTATGCAAAAGACAGAATTTCATTAGTTCACTTCCTTAAATATGTGTGGGGAATGATGGAAGTTGGGAGAGAAGAAGAAAAGTTATTACACAGTAGTGGCCTTGTAACTCTACGACCTGCACTTCAAAACTCCAATGCCTGAGGTTTGTCTGGGACGCATCAGAGTTAATGCTAATATTCACAGTTTAGTCAGACATCTTTATGCAGAACACGCCTTTCTGCAAAAACAAGGAGATTTATTTTCTGCAGCACCCAAACCCAAAACAAAGATTTGCAGTAACAGAAAGGCAGATGATGAGCAGCAGGAAATCAACAAAGTTCTCAGACGTAGAAGTGTGAAGGAATGCAGTCCACTTTGGAAAACCTCCAGTTACAATCCTTACCTGCCATCTCTGGTATTGTCTTTGACCCCCTGAAGTAATTCAGTAGTGTAATCAGAACACGGAAGTTTTATCTATTTTAGATTCATCAATCATTGGCCTGTTATATAAGGGAGACCCGATGGCCAGACCCAATTTTAGCCAAGCTGTTTCAAGATGTTAGAAGAATCAGACTTAAAATATTGTTGCCATGTAACCTGTTTTCTGCATATATTATGGTCTTCCAGTGCCTTGTAAAACATTGTAGGGTTTTTTTTGGTTCCTTACAACAGATTTCAAAAGGAGGCAGCTCAGAGTCAGAAGCAAGAAAAAGTTTTTTCTTCTGATGCCTGACAGTGCAATCAAATGGAAAAGGATTTTTAAAAAAATTAAATGCAAAAGAAGTAGAGTGTCTGATAATTTCAAACAGTATGCTGGAGTCATTCTGACAATAAAGACTTTTATTGCACCCTAGTAGTGCCTGGGGTTTTAATTTAACACATCAATGAAAAAGGCAGTGTTTAAAAAAACCACCACCACCACTGAAAACACCAGCAGGACTTGCCTTTATTAGTGCAATTCGTAAGAAATTAGAACATTTAATGAGAAAATCGTTAACCATGAAAAAAATGGACTGACTTAACTTGGGGAGCTTAAGTAGTGAGACTTCGATTTAGTTTGTCAGCTACTGGTGAAATAAAAAAGAGTGAGCTGATCACCTCTGGAGCAGTAGGCGCTTCAGCGCGCTTCCTCGTGCAATAGCTGCTGTTGGACAGAACCATTATCCGCCTCCTTTTCTAGAAACCCTGGAGTCAAAAGCTGGTGGGAGAAATATCAAACATGTCTGGTTTTACTCTTTTCAGAGCTGCTGTCCTGCAGATTCAGTTCAATTAGGCATTTTATAGAACCTAAATATAACGGTGCTGTGTACGCTTACAGTGAGCGGAGTGGATTATAGCATCTCCATGCTTCTTGGTGTGTCCACTTATCCTTGTCTCTTCTGTCACTCTGGCAGATGATTTTCTATGGCTGAAACAGTTGCAGTAATGTATGTGCCTGTAACATCTGAACATAACGAGGTCAGGCTAAAGGTAATCCCATAACCTGCCTTTAGCAGTACAAGAGGAGGACAGGCAGATGCTGTGACTTACCCAGAACCCTTTCCTGCATTTTCTTCCTCAATGGCAACATCATCTTTAATCTCTCTTGATAGAGTTCCTCTTTAAAGAATTCTAACAATTTGTTCAAGCTTTTTTTTTAAAAAAACTCTTGAAACTTCCAGCATCCCACAGCATCCTAATGTAAAGGGGTTAACTGCTTTTGTTTGAAGAGGTACTTTGTTTTCATTTGTTCTTAACCCAACTCTTTGCACTGGACTATCACTCCTGATTCATCCTTTTCCCAGTGCTTCTGAGTTTGTAGATCACTATTGGATGCTCTTCACGCTTGTCTTTCCCCAGGCTGAGGTGTCTGCCACAGGGTAGAATTGGACATTTCCTCAGCTATAATTAACCACGAAGTAAATTAAGTACTAAAATATAGCAGAATTTAGTTGTGCTTGCGGAACTCCCGGTGATATTTTTCCTTGTGACATTTGCAGTGTTTTACAGCTGCCTACCTTTTAGGAGCTCAACTGTAAGGATGAAAATAGTGTTCCCCTTCTTTTTGGTAAAAGTCTTGTTGTTTGCCTCTGCTTCTCTCTGTCAGGCATACCCAGTTTATAATACTTACCTCCATAATCATAAAGAGCAGTGCCCCCATGAAAAACCATCAAACTTTCTGTACAGAGACAAGACATACACTAATGTCAGTAACAACAAGGTAGTCTTTTAACTCCAGTCACCCTACAGGTGTTGTTTTGACATTATCACACCGTCATTATAAATGTAACACTTTTATTGGAATATGCATGTGTTTCAAAGGATCTTTAGGGATCTGCTTTGCATTGTAGAACATAACCTCCCTCAGCTTTAGGACCCAAAATGTTCTGGTTTTACTTCCTATCAAACAAGCTAGGCTGGTGCTTTTTTTCTCGGCTTTCAGGGAAAGACTTTTGCCTTGGCCATGGTTGGGTTTCTTCCTAGTATATCTGGCTTTTCCAGAGAGGCTGAAGTAATTGTCAGTAGATTAGATAACAATTATCAGTTTGAGTAGCTTGAGGCGGTGTGGGTATGATTAGCTCTTTTGATACCTGCGAAACAGTAAAAGAGACATGTAAAGGAAAAAAAAATATTTTTACCTTAAAAGTGTGCATTTTTTGATTTGTTTTTTTCCTCTTTGTCTTTCAGTGAGCCAGCAGCTGATAAACCGCATTGATCAGTTCCTGGAAAATAAAGGTTCGCAGTACTACATGAAAGGGATCAATTGTATCAGAGTTTTCAGAGAGGAGGCCATTAAGGTAATATTAATATGTGAAAACTCTCATCTCGTTCAAATTAAAGGCATGATGGGCCTATTTTGCTGTATTAGAAACTTGATTATTTCTTCCTACAGCAAAAAGAATTGATTCATAGATTAAAATCTCTTATGTTGTTTGAAAGTTTAGAAATATATTTGCATTTTATGTTTTTTTATTCCTACTGAAATGGAGACTAGCTTCTTTGGTATTACTGTTATTTCTTTTCTTTTAAACATAAAAACACAAGGCCTATGACCTGATGCTTGCAAAAGAAAAATAAGCAGTCTTGTAAATTTCTTAAATAAAGCCAGTTACAAGGAAGTCTAAAGCTAGTTACGAGAAAGTCTTTCTTGTTTTCTGAAAGGCAGTTTTTGTGGCTCGCCTTTCCTTAGAACTCTTGGCTTCAGCAGTGATAAAAACCAAAATCTGTACTGAGTCTTGTGTTCACCATGTTAGATGACTTCATGAAGAATTAAGTTTCCAGTGCTCTTTAGTAAGCTACTTTAATATTTATCTCTTATCATTACTGTTATTTTTTTCAGCTGTCCAAGGTGCAGTGCTTTAATGATTTTCTGCAGGCCCTGAAATCAAAGGTGGAAGATAAAGCCTTAGCTGATTTCTGGGAGATCATTATACAAGGTAGGATGGCATTCGGGAACGACAGGAGAAAAAAAAAAAATTAAAAAAATAATTCTAGTTGTATTTTCCATTATGTAAGAGAAAACTTTGTTAGTAATGGGACAGAGAAACATTTTGATCTGGTTTATTCCTGCAACCTCTTTAAAAAAAAATAAAATCTTTCTTGTTGCAACTTTCTATTTTGCACTAATAGGTTCATATCAGCAATATCCATAATGTGTTGACAAGTCTTGTTGAAATGGCAAATTAATTGTGGAAGAAGAGAGACAAATTAAATGTTACAGACTAAGGAAAAGAAGATACAATTTCAGCTGAATTTCAAAATAAATGGAAAAAACTCATGTAGCAGGGATATAAAAAGAGTCTTCCAAATTAAGCTTCAAAAAAGGCATAGATAGCATTGAAATATGTCACTGATCATTTTGTGTTTAAGCAACCTGAAGGACAGAATATGTGATAATGTGACACCTACCTATGATTAAACTGGGAGATACAAGGCAGTGCAATTCCAAAAGACATTCAGAGACTACGCAAGTGATAAATAAAGAAACATTTTCACAAATATAAAACATGGTGGACTAAAAAAAAAATCTTTTACGTCACAGTCTTGTTTTTAATTGGAACCAGTGCTAAGAAAATCTGTTAAATGCCCAGTTCTTTCTCTTAAGGGTGCATATTACAAAATGCAATGATACGCTTTTGTGTAGCGCCTTTCAAATTGAAGAACTCCAGACACTCTGTAATGTCTGCTTCATCCAATTTTTAAAAATACAGGAAGAGAATTTGTTTTACAACCCAAAACAACAGCACAAGACAATACTGAAAGAATAGTATATTCAGTAGTGTTGTAGGGGACTCTTCTGTGAAGAAATATGGGGAAAAAAAAAAAAAACACAATAAATTTTGAAAGTAGGAAACTTGGATCTTCCAAAGCCATGCTAGAATACTGTTTTAATAATTTGTAGCTAGTACAAGCCAAAGTTTTTAACAAACTGGAGTATACTTTTGAGGGGGGAAAAAAACACCCACAAATACAGAGATGGTATTTTCATACAAAATAGATTATCTTCTGGTGAGAAGATGATAAAGTCATGCTGCTTTATGCATAATCTGGCTGCTCTCACTAAGTAGCTGAAATTGCTTTTCACTTGCTGCTACTAGAGGCAGAAGTCCTGTTTTCCCTGCTTCTTGCCATATGACTCATCCCTTCTTTTCTACCAAACGTGACATGTATTGGGCCTTGTCATGAGTGGCTGCAATCACAAAAAGAGGGATGGATGTGAGTTAATCAGGGGGCTCGACAGTGCTAGGTTAACAATTGGACTTGATCTTCGAGGTCTTTTCCAACCTAAATGAATCTATGATTCTCATGAGTTGTGGCTCAGGGGCAAGGCAGATCTGCGTGAGGAGTTCGCTTTCTCATGAAACCCTACCATGTACTTCATTAAGGTGACATTACACTTGTGCTGCTGCTGAAACCTTTATGAATCTACTGTTCTTTGCTCTCACACCCACAGCTTCTTTATTCAGGCACAAGCTTTCATGTAGCCAAGTGATGAGCAAGACTGGAAGAACTATTGGGGTTAAAGGCAATTGAGATTTATTTCTGTTTTCGGGAGTCACTGCACAGAATGGTGGTGCTGGCACAAACAAAAAGCAGACTCAGGGTCAGAGTAGCTCTTTGGTAGTCAGACTGTAGGTAATCGCAGCATAAGTGTTTGTATGTTAGGAGTTAATTTTTCTAAGGCTATTAAGGACTGAAGAGCATGCTGTGAATGACTAGAAGTGTAATTTCTGATAGATTTTCAGCATTTCATCTGTGATCTATGATTTCAGTGTCTCATTAGTTTGATTGTCATAATATTAGCAGTTTCCTAAATGGATACTTCCACCAGCTTATGAATATGCTCATTAATTTATTTTTATATCATAGTTGACTCATTTATGCAAGTCACATTTTCCTTTGAGCAATATTTTTTTATTTTCGCTGATGATGATGACACATTCAGAAGCTGGAAGACTTTTTTCATTTCTAACATTAAGTGTGTTTTTGGGAAGCCTTCTAATGATATTTTTATATCTCTTATTTTTTTTAGACAGAATTTCTTTGATCACTAAAGATGAAGCAGAGGGAAGTTTGGTGACTAGAGAAGAGGCTGAAAAGGTATCATTTTTTTAATGAGCATCTATTTGTTTGGAACCTGTGTTGTGGAACAGAAAATTCTTTCTTATGTGGGTAAATCTTCAGGTGAATGAAATAGGATTCCTGTGAAGGAAGAAGAGTGTTCTTTTGCCACACAATTGAAATTGCCCCAATTCAGAGCAAAAATAATTCCCTAGCATGTACCACAGCATTTGCTTTAATTGGTCTTCAGCAAGTAGCATGTATGGACATCCTTATCTGAAAATATCCTCTACAAAGGATAGGAACTTCAGGAACTGTGTGTGTGTATATACACACACACACACAAGTAAGATCACTATTTGAACTTCATAGAAAGAACATTCATCTCATTGTCATCATGAGTTCAAAATCAGGACACTTCTTTGTCTAAAGGCATTGTGAACTCTAGCAATATGAACTTGTTTGGCTAGTTTTCACCATATATGCAACAACATCAGTATTGTCCACTTTATGCAGCTCTTGTGGATTGATGGGTGTTATAGATGATGCTGGTATTTTTATTGGTGATGATATTATATCCTTCTGGAAACAAAAGGTTTGGAGTATTTGCAGGTATTCTTTCTACAGAAATATGACACTTCAGTAACTGCAGCGATGACTGAAGGATGTCACAGATCCAAAGGAGCAAATTTGAACAGGCAGAATGGTGCCTTCAGTTTGAAAGAAAGCACAGTACAGAGTTGCTCTCAAAAATTCTATTTGTGTGGAGAGGGTAAGGCAGGCATTCTTGTATCAGGCTGCTAGCTGTGTTTTTAAACAGTTTAGGAGAAAGAAAGTCCTTGCATTATTAGACCTGTGAAGGTAAAGCTGCGGCTAAAATCATTAAGTACTTTGCAGAGAAGCAGCTTTTCTAAAAGATGCCACACTGATTTGCCCAACTTCAATAACCAGAAGAGGGTAGAAGTAGGTTCTCCATGAGTGAAGAGTGAGTAAAAGGTTGTATTTTAGAAACTGCTTGTTTTCATCTGTAACAATTTACCTCAAGGTGAGGAAGGCACAGAAATGTCATGAAAATGAAAAGCTAACAAAAAATCCAGAAAGCTAAGCACGTGAGCAGAGTACAAATGACAGAATATGATGGGTTTTTCTAGATGTGAAGGACCTACTGCCTGTTTCTTATCTCACACACAATTTTATAGAGCAACTTTGTTTCCCCAGTGGTGGTTTTAAATGGTATCGGGTTTTGTTATATATTGCAATTGAATTTACTTGAATTGAATATGAATTTACTTGGAAACTTACCAAGAAAATATGTTTCTTGAGAACTTCACTTTCTAGTCTGAAGCTACTGTTGCTGCTCAAAATGTGCTAATGCTGTGTGAAATAGCCACTATTCCTTAAGGAAATCTCTACTAGATGTAGACCTTGCAGCATACTGTTGCCCTCACTGTGAGCTTGTGGTGGCTAAAAAATACTGTTCCGGCAGAGGAGTGCTGCACAGATTTTTAGAGTACCAATGATGGGATTTACAGCTGCCAGGCTAAGCTGGAGCAAAGTATTTGTAGACTGATTTCAAAATTACTTTTCAGTTTAACATCACCTTACAGTCAGCAAGGTGTTGCAGTGCAGGAAATTCTTTTGTGATTTATTGAAGGTCTTACAACAGCCGTAATTTCCTTTTAAAATAGGGGAATAAGAGAGATTGCATGAAGACAGCTCTGCAACAGAGCTCTCTGACACGGCACTAACCTTGACTTTCAGAATAAATGAGTTACATCTTTTTGCTGACCAGGCAGTTGGCAATCCCAGTTATGCACTAGATAACCATCTCCCCACATGCTTTCCAAATCCAAAACTAGAACACTGTTTCCAATTGTCTGTCAAGGTTTTATATGACTTTTCACTTAAGAAACCGGAAGACTTCATATTCTTGGAGTAAGATCTGCAAGGACAGAAAACTTTATCTTGAGGTGATGGGGTTGATCTAAAGCATGGTCCTCCTTGGTCCAGTTAAACTCTGCAACAGGTTTCTTGTGTGACACAAAGCCAGCGTTTTCCTAGGTCTGTTGTAGGCTGCAAAATGCTTCATTTGTTTTCTATACTGAAGGTGATATCCTTCACTAAAGGGTTATATTAGTAAACTAAAACTAACTAAACTAACTGAACTGAAAAACTAACTACTACTGTATTAGTAAACTATGTAACTAAAGGGTTATATATAAAATATCACACAGTAGAGGAAGATGAGAGTTTTCTTCACCTCTGTAACATGTCACATGCAAGCGTGTGGGTCAAGGGGCTGGCTGTCAGCGTGGTCCTCTGAGACACAAAAGCCTTTCCTCTTATATGCTGATGACTAGCTGATAGTTTCAAGAGTGGTTTGGATATAAGATTTCAGGTTCATAGGGTTGTTGTTTGAAGGGTAGAGGAAGACTTACAAGGCTGATTATAAAAGAAGTAATACGTAAAACTTTTCTGTTTTTTTTTTCGGTTGAGCTGGGTTATCCATGCATATTTTTCTGTCCCTGAGAAAAATGGGTTTAGGTAGGGTTGTGTTTTTTTTTTTTCCTGTAATAGTGAAGATAATCTTTTTAGAGCATGAGAATGATAGGTTAAAAGAGCAGAAATGTCAAGTGCTTTTTCTGATTGCTTTGGGGAAGATAATGGATTTCAGCACAGCTATTATATGTAATTTGCTTTTGCATAAATGTAAAACAAGCTTTGGGAAAAAACCCAACTTTGCATGTTCAGGAATTGATGGAAACTTCAAGTTTCAATTTATTGCAAATCTTCATCATACATTTCTTTAGCTTTTAGCTTTCTTTCCCTAATTTAGTGTGGGAAAGCTAATTTTGAAAACTTTGAAAAATGTGCTACTTTCAGAAATACCATTTGACTCTTAATTAACTGTGTAAAATGAAATTTGATCTGGCACAAAAAGCCTTGCAGAGCTAACAATGTCATTAGCTTTTAGTTTCATACTATGTGCTTTATATTGCTACTAGGTTAAGAACTTTTCCAGCAAAAAAGACACACAGACATACGGCATCTTGAAATTCTAATTCCTTCTGGCCCTGTCAGTTTATCATTTTTTTTTGCAGCTACAAAATCTATATGATAAATTGAAGTCAGCATGTTAAAACATGAGTGTTGTCTGTGGAGTAAGCTTTCCACGTTCCTCTTGGATGTTGCTGTTTAGGATGTAGGAAAGGTCTGACCTTTGGGTAGCGAGACCACTCGGCAGAGTTTGTCTGCATCCTCTGTCTCTGGTGTTAACCAAAAGCAATGTCTTTGCTTTTCATCCTGCTGTATATGATAATATATACTTTCCCACAAATGGGGTGCAGCAGGTGACTGCTCAGTGTTATACCCCTTGTCTAAAGCTGTCACTATTGCTCTGGAGAAGGATCAGAACATATTATATGTGTAAAATAATATTTAAGCTTTTTACAGTACAAGTATGTTGTCTCAGACTGGTAGTGCTGTGATAGGGATCCCATGACCTTTTACACAACCTCCATGGCTGTTACACTTGAAATCCTCAGGTAAAGAGTAGCTTGCTTTCAGGAGCCAGCTGTTTGCACTAAAGAGTTACTTATACTCTAAACAGGTATTTATAGCTGTTTCATGTGGTTATTTTCTAACTAGTTGTTCTCTTACATCATCTAGAGTTACACCAAAGTTGTTCCTGAATTAAGGATGATGGTACTCAAAGTCACGGAATGGGGCTTTTCTTCCTCCCCAGCTTTTGTAGTCATCTCTTCATCTGGGGCAGGGCTGTTCCTGGCTCTATATGCTTACTCCGAGGCATTTTAATAAGAAAAAGATAATGCACGATTTTATCGTAAGGATAATGGTAAAGAGACAGTAACTAAAACTTGTAGACAACTGGATACTTTTTCAGTGAGAGTCAAGTATTTGTATTTTTTTTTTGACCATTCTAGCTAAATTATTACTTTTTCACTATGTTAGGCTAAGGAAAAAATAATTGAGAGGTGGTTGTATTGTCTGTGTGTTTGATTTCAGTTATTATAGTATCTGAGCAATATTTTGTCTTCTGTTTATGGATTTATGCCTTGAGTAAAGGGCATATGGTGAGTTGTATCAGCAGCTAGAGCAATAGAATTTTACATAATGAATTTTCTATTTTTAAAGACTGGCATTCTAACCATCTTGTGTGTTTGAGGGGGTTTTTTAAATTCATGTCTTTGTTCATTTGTTAAATGTTAATTGAATTAAATAGGAAACTTCTAAGTTCCACACAGAATCAGAATGTCATAGTTAACAACTTTGCTAAACAAGCTGTTGGTCAGCTTACGTATGTATTCATATCGATTGGGGGGTGGTTTGCTGTCCTTTAGCATTTTGTAGCTATACACAATATTACTTTTAAAATTTTCTTTTTTAAGAACATAAATGTGGCCATACTGTAATGGATGAAATTTCCATCTAGCTCAGAATCCTGTATTTGACAGTGGACAATAACAAATGGGTAGGGAAAAGTGTACTGTCCCAGGCACTGATATCTTAACTATTTCCTGTGCTTGAGGTTATTTCTGTGGACTTAGGAGACTTCAAAGGATTTCTCTTCTATGAACTTTCCCCATCTCCCTGTGAGACTAGGGACTACTATTTGCAGCATCCTTATTACAGGGGGTTCTACACCTTAACCATATGTTGTCTTAAGAACCATATCCTTTTGTCTGTTTTTCAACACACTTCACCATAAAACCCTTTAAAAACAAGTCTTATGAAATTTCCTGTAGTTTAAGATTATTTTGGAGGGTGGAAACCAGAACAAACTTCCTTCATAATTTTTAATTACAGGTGGATTGTTTTGATATGCAAAGGAGACTTTCTGTTAATTTAACATTAAAGGTCTGAGTTTTGTCAGTATTGTATAAATCCATTTGTATTTTCAGTTCCTGGCTCCAAAAGAAAAGAAAAATGAAACTCCACCTCCGACAGATGAAGGTGGTGATGTTGATGATTTGGTGAGTACCGTAAAGACGTAACGTGGCTTTAGAATTAAACTCACTGAAAGGCACAGTGAGAGCGAGCGAGTGCTTCTTAAAGCAGTAGCTTGGAGTGCATGGCTTAGAAAAAACCTCAGTAGTTGAGTCAGAAAAGAGCCACACGGGAAACTTATTTGCTATTGTAAGACATAACCAGGTGTGTAATTTCGTGATGGCAAATATGTTGTTATGTAGTAATATGGGTGTTTACATAGGTTAAATGTGTCCTCCAGTGTGTTTCAAAAGAGCCGGTGAGGCTGCTCATTTGATAGCAGATTGTTATAATTTACTGTAATAGCATTTAACAAAGCTTGTAGATCTAGAACCGCTATTTTTGTGGGTTGAAAACTGAAAATCATTTTTTAAAAGATGTTTTAATCTTCTCAATTAACCTTCTCTGTATAGGCTTACTGAAATTCAAGGATTTCAAGGGGTTTTTTTAATAAATATTTTAGCCATTTTTTACAGGCTGAGTCATTACAAATCTGTCTCCAATGCTTAAGCTGATGGTGCAGTCAGTTTTAAAGAAGCTTCAATAGCAGGCAGATTTCTACTTTTGGACTGTACTTTTTTTAAATCTATAAATTGCACACATGATTATGTGAAGATGAGATTTTTAGGTTTGTTTTTTGTATTTTATAGCAGCTTAGTATTAAGTTATGTGCAGTCCATTTGCATTACACGATAATGATTTCCAGATTTGCCTTGTTTTCTAAGTGCTAAACACACGTAAGAGATACCTTGAATTCAATGCTGCTTCTTCCAAATCTTTTTCTTCTATTTACAGCTGGACATGATGTGACCAGGTGATGATGAGGTGATACATGGTGACTATACAAGCAAGTTTTGGAAGAGGTCTCCCTGTGACATGTGGGGCACAAAAGAGGATGCTAATGAGAAGACAGTATATCCATCTTTATTTTCTCAAATGAGAGCAGACGTCCCAGAGACATTTTCAGTTGTTATAAATGTAATCTGACTTTTCAAAACTAGAACAGCAGATTGAAATAATCTGCAGTATTTGTGAAGTAATGATACCTTTAAGGCATCTCTCTTTTTTTTTTTTTGGTCTTTTTTAGCATACTGAATCTAGCTTATCCTTGGCATTGCTTTCAGCTAAACGCTACTAAATTTAATGAGAATCTGCGCTGGCGCCTGAAATTCTTGTTACATTGCCTGGGAAGGAAGATAGAAATGTCACAGTAAGGTTACCAGGTAATGCTGAATCTTTAGTGGAGGTAACTCTATAGCATTATTGTTACAGAAGGGAAAAAGTCTCTATTTTCATGCTTTTTTTCCCTATTAAAAAAAACCAAAACAAAACAAACCAAAACAGGCCAGTGAGTCACAAAGTACTAGTTTGAAATACACAACAGAATCTAAAGCACGCAGCGAAGCCAAGTATGCTGATTTTGTTTGCCATACTGTACACAAATCAGTGATTATGGTCATGTCTGTACTACAGGTTCCCTATCCTGTCAGTTCAGCAGCAGCTTAATGGTCCCTTTCTGTTATACATCTTCCTATTTATATGCTGGAATTTCTGGGTTGGTTTTTTTTTTTTTAGACTTTTATCTTGTATGGTTACTGTAGATACTCCTGGTGCTAAAGCATGAATGAGTCAGTTACATCCCTATTCCATACACTGCAGATAACTGCTAATGAAGAGAAGAAGAATCCATGAAAGCTGTACTCTGACACCTGTCATAGAGAACTGATAATAATTAACACTGGTAACCAACAAGGAGCACTGCGTACACACGGTAATCCAAGGTAGTAGTTTGGATTGTTTGTTACAACCAGACTCATCCTTTAAAAGCTTTTCTTGCTTTATATTGCAAGTATATAAACAAACGGTGCAAAACAGTATTAAGATCATAAAAAAGAAAAAATCATGAGCTGTAGTTAAAAAATGTTTGGGAATATCTGGACTTTATACTGAACAGCATCTCCTGTGTGGGAAACAGCAATTGGTTTTTACCCCTACCTCCCTACACAGTGACGTGGTCTCTCCTCTCATACATCCTGTCCAGAGTACGACTTCGAAAGGGTTTCTGAAATGCAAATGGCAGGGAGTAAGTGATCTTTCCAGAACTTTAGAGCATTGGTGTCACCAGAAGATACTTTTTTGAACTGTAAATACTTGGTCAGTCCATTGTTTTGAATGTCTTTTAAGGCCAATTTAAAGAGTATAACACTGTTGTGGGGTTCTTTATATTTTACTAATTTGATTAATAAAACACTTAAAAATTGGCTTTTGTCTTCTTCAGAACCACGTTTGCTAAAGTCAGATGATTAACTACCTGTGTAGTACCTGAGAGAGACTATCAAAAGCCCCTTTTCTGGGCATACAATGTGAACACTGGGTATCAAAATCCCTCTACAGAAGCAAAGTGTAATTACTTGTTCTATTATTTGCAAACTCTAAATTTCACAACATCCCAGTAAAGTAATTTTTGCAGAGATGATGAGAAGTCTTGGTAATGAGAGTTTGAGAAGTCTATGATGGAATTGATAGACTGGCCATGAGAATGTATTTAATGTTACTTTAATGTATCAAACCAAAGGATTGGTTTTCTTCCCTATTTTTACCAATTTTTGACTCTGTCTCATCCTTTCTTCCTATTTTGATGCACAGTAATGGGCAGTAATAACTGTCATTTCCTTTTCCTCCAGAAGGGAGTGAATCTTGCAGCTTTCAAGATATTAACAGAAATACCTCCAATGTAGGATATAACTAGAAACATTTTCTATCTGCTGTCTTAGACAATGCGTAAAGGGAGCGCAAGCCCCTGAGGAGACCAACTGTGGTGCAGATATTTTTGCCTGAAGCATGTGGATCAGAGATAATGCTAGGCAGAGTAAGGTAAAATAGCTGTAGTGCTTGATTGTTGGGGTTTTATGTGGCTTGGATGTGTGAGAATTCCTTCTCCAGCCTGCTAATGCCAGTAGTCAAATGACAAATACTCTCTCCCTATGGAGTGAGGTACATCCACATGGGAAGAAATGGTATATAACCCCCTGCACCCCGCTGGCTTTTCACAAGAGTTGTAACAGCTATATCAGAATGCTTAGGGACCCTTTGCTTACTAAAAAGGAAGGGAGAAAGTATTTTTTTTTTTTTTATTTGTTCTCAAGCAGGCCGGCATGGAAAGCCCTGATCTGAATGGGTAAGAGTCGGTCAACAGCCTTTCCCTGTGGTCCCTTCACACTGTGCACAGATCTCATCTTCTAGCCCTCAGCCTTCCACAATGTTCAGGGTCTGTCACTTGTCTGTCTACAAAGAATAAAAAGTGGCTCACAAAGGTGACATGAGAAATGACATGACCTCCTTTGCTTAGTGACTTGGGATGTAGGATTTCGTTACCCTGGTGTCTTCTAGCACTCCTTGTGAACTTTCAGCAGTTACCAACCGTAGTATCTCAATGTTGCAGTTTGGCCCCGAGGTTTAGAAGGCTGTATGATCCTTAGGAAGAGCATGACATAAGCAACATTGATCCACCTTTCACAAAACTGCAGTGTACAAATCTGTGCATTGTCTGAATCCCACCTTCAACTAACATTTGGATCATCTGGAAGCTAAACTGGCTCATTCACTTCTTGTGGGGGAGTTTATTAAAGATAACATCAGCAAGCAGGTATATTCTTCTTCCTAAGGAAAAGCAGTAAAGGAGACAAGGTTTTGCAGAGGAAAACATTTTTGGTGATACAGAAATTGTATGTGTTTAATGAACTTTCTTCTGACTTATGTTCTACCACTTGAGTACCAGAGCTTACCAGTGTGTTCTGGAGCTTATTTTGGTTGGGAAACCATTGTTTCTCTGATGTGGATTGTGCTTTGCAGACAATAAGATTACTTTTAGAGGTACATACTTACTGCAAAAAAATCTGGAAGGGACAGAGGTAGGGAAGGTTTATTATTTGCTAGCAAACAAGGAAAACTTGAGGACACCTGCACTTGGAAGGACGGTATGTGTCACTGAGCTGGTTGGGTTTGTTGCTTGTTGTTTGTTAGGGGTCTGTGGCTGTAGTAAAAGGGGTGATTGAAGACTTTGCCAGGCTTCTTGGGAGATAAAGAAGGTACTCTAGATGAGGTATGTTCTATAACGGGGAATCTCTCAGTGATGTACTAACGCTAAATCAACCTGTAAGTTAAAGAATCAGAGAAACAGGCTCTGTCCCTTTTCCTTTCCTTCATTGAAATTTTTGCATTGTCTTATTTCATGAGAAAGTAAAAGAGCTAATCTTCTGGTTCGCTAGTGGGGGACAGCAACAGTAAGGTTTTATTCCTAGCTCTGTTGAAGACTTATTTGGGGCCACTTACTCAATCTCTCTGCCTCTTGATTATCCTCCCTTTGCAATTGGGGAAAGTTGTTACTCATGCTATCTCACAGAGAAAGCAGTTGAAAGACTTTTGAGGGACTTTGGTTGGATGGGACTTCATATAGAGGGGATATATAAGTGCAAAAGTTTTATGGCAAAATATTTGGGGGGGAAGGGAGTAAATGAAGACAAAAAGCAAGTTATCATGATGCTCCGTGGGACATGAGGAGAACATGATCATTAGCCTTGAGGAGAAGTGGAGCAGTGGGAATTCTATTAAGTGTCTCACAGGCAGCAGGAATATGTGAAAGGCAGACATTAAACAGAAAAAGACTGAGGTATTCTGGAGAAATGGACAATCAGTTATTCCACTTAATGACTCTGAAAAGCAAGGAGAGGAAACAAATGAGGTTTCAAAGCTTATTATTGGAAAGAACAGCCTTTCCATATCTCTTTCACAATCCTGAAAGAATGAGCTATTTTACATAATGAACATTTACTTACTGTTCTCCCAGACACACACACTGACCTATTTAAAAATGCAAATGGTCACAAAGTTCCCTTCAGGCAGCAGTGACAAAATCAATGTAGAAGGAATAGGGTTAGTCCAGCAAGACAATATGTAATTGGGTTGTAGCTTGTCCAGCAGCCCTCAGGAGGTGGGAGCAATAGAGGCTTTAGCATTTGCATGACTCACAGCTCAAGGTTTACACATGAGATTGTGTATAATCCCCACAACCCAAAGCTGGTGATGACTCGGATACAAGAACTGCAGTGAGACAGAGGACATGTGAAAAAGAACAAACACGAAGAGAGAAAAGCTTGCAGGAATGACCTTTTCTTACAACAGGTCACTGGAACTTGAAACCCAATGAGAGTGATACATACCCCAGGGGACCACTGGAAATCAGGGGAATCAAATCCTTGCACACAGGTTACAGAGTGAGCATGTGCTGGAAGGCAGGACCAGCTTCACCTTCTGGACAGCCGCCTGTTCTTCAAGAGAAGATTACTCTGCAGAATCTAGTTCGCAGAAGAGCTGTGGGCAGTTTCAGAGATTTACTCTGGGGTAAAGAGAATTGAAAGGTAAATCGCAGCTACAGGGAGGAGCATATGTTAGGTACTCAAAGCAAATTGTTTCCTCATCTTGAGTTAGCTGCTGATGGTTTTGTGCAGAAATTTCCATATAATGGGATCTGGCCTTTACATTGACAGTATCTGCTCTTGAAAATGACTCTAGGCCAGGCTGAAAATGGTTTGAGAGTGGTACAAAACCATAGGATGAGTGAAACTGAAGAAAATAAGCTTTTATGATTCTCTTGGTAGCTGCAGAATGACCAGAATTGTTGGGGTGCAATTCTGTATTTTGTGTGGCTTTAAAGAAACAATCAACCCCCACTTTCCAAACCCTAGAAGAGCAAATGCATCTGAAGATAGCTCACCCATGTCTGTAGTCTTCATTGTAGGGAGAGTTCCTAAAGATTTCCTGTGTGCTCTCAGAGCTGGCATGAAACCGGCCGCTGGGGCAGAAGTTGATGCCTTCATTGCACCCCACTTATCTTGGGCAGCATCAGTTTTCCTCTGCATAGCAATGGCTCTGCAGAGGATACTGAGGCAAAGTGGCCAGCTATGTCTAGAACTGGTAGCCCAGTTGCTAAAGTTTAAAAATGCTGTGGCAGCAGGGTGCAGGGAGGCTTTGCACGACTGCTGTGAACGCTGCTCCTCTACCCTCATTTGGGGATTTGTTGGGTACCCACCAAGCCAGCCGTGTCTGTGGAGCACGAATTGCTCTCTGCGTGAATTAAAGGCATCAAGGGAACTGAGAGAGGAGGAGAAGGGAAAAGTAACTCAAAACACTTATACACAGTTTGGGCTCAGAGATTAGCCGAAAAAATAGCGCTTCAAGACAAGGAGGGAGGAAATTGAATAGATAAGGGCATAGTATTTACGATGAGAAATGAGCAAATCTTATCAACAAGTACATTCCCTTAGGATTCATTTCAATGGACACACGCAGGCCCTAAGGAGCACAGTACTGCAGAAAAACGTATGTTCTTTCTTGAACTTTGCATGGCTTTCAGGATTTAGCTGTGTGTCATCAGCTCAAAATGCTACTTGGTGATAGAGAGTTCCTGTAGCTGCTATGCGTGGAGCTTGTCAATATTTGTAATGTATGAACGAGGCTGTATTAATGCACGTTAGCTGTTTATAGATAATACCCTTGTGTCCTAGAGCTGCAGTCCCTTAATGGGATGCTTTTAACAACGATTACCCAGGCTTGTATTGCTTACTGAGGGCATTTTGCAAAAAAAAATGTCACAACATAGAGCTACACAATTTCTCTACATCAGTCTTTTCATAAGCAGACGTGCTTTCTGGACCAGACAGCTCCATTTTCCAGCATTTACTCAGTTGGCAAATTCAAGGCAAGTTTGTCACTTCTGCTAGCATTGCTGGAGAAGACTTAAAAGGTGCATCTGGCCTGTTTGTATCAAGGGTGCGGGTGTGGAGATCCAGGCTGGGGTATCAGGGTTGAGGAATCCTGTAGCTTTGTGCCATGGTGCTGATGGCCTCCTGCCCCATGCGTGCTTTTCTTCCTGCCTGCTTGTGCAGCCATCCTTGGGAAGCTGGACTTACAGCAAGACAAGACCAATGTACAGAAAAATGTTTGTCAGAATGATGATGTAAACAGCCTTCACTCCCTGTGCAGTTGTTTTTTCTGAGATCAATACGGTGGGAACTTTTCGGCGACACAGAGTCAGGTTCTTAATTTCTTCTTCATTTCCTTTGGGAAAAGTTACCTTTATGGTGGTCATGTCTGTGAACATCTCGTGTGCACATGGCAGATGTTGCCGTACAAGCACACTGCTCTGTAACAGCACAGAACAGAAACAATGAAATCCCCCAAATTAGTTTTTAGAATATGAAATAG